TTATCAGGCAAATATAGAAATCCACGTGATGTAAAAAAAGAAATCCTCCATCGATGTAAAAAAAGCATTTAAAATTTCAACATCCACCCATAATAAAAACTCTCATAAAACTAGGAACAGAAAAGAAATTCTTTAACTTAAAAAAAAATCTACAAAAAAGTCCTACGGCTAACGTTATACTTAAAAGTAGAAAATTGAATACTTCCCACTAAGACTGGAAACAAGGCAAGGATATATGCGTTCACTGCTATTATTCATCACAGTACTCAATGTTCTAGCCTATACAATAAGGAAGGAGAAGAATACTGATTTAATACTTAACACTACTGAACTGTACACTTAAAAATGGTTAAGTTGGTAAATTTTATGTTATGTGTTTTTTACTACAATCAAAAAATTTAAATGAAAAAAAATACAGATCTAAAAGGAAGAAATATACCTGTTTATTTTGAAGATATTATTGTCAACATAGAAAATCCCAAAGAATCTACAAAAATATCCTAGAATCAATGAATGAGTTTAGCAAAGTCATAGAATACCAGATAAATATACAAAGTTTAGTGGTATTTCTACATACTAGCAATGAACATGTGAGCACCAATATTAAAAATATAATGTCAAAAAATAAAATAAAAATAATATCATTAACAATTGCTCAAAAAATTTATTTAGGTGTCAATCTAATCAAACATGTACAGGATTTATATGCTGAAAAGTGCAAAACGCTGATGAAAGAAATCAGAGACCAAAATAGATGGAGAGACCTCTCCTTGTTAATAGATGGAGAGAAAATTCATATAGTAAAGATGTCAGTTCCCCCAAACTAATTTACAGCTTTAATAAAATTCCTATCAAAATCTCAGCCAGACATTTTTGTGGATATAGACAAGATTACTCTAAAGTTTATATGAAAAGGCAAAAGAACTAGAATATGTAAAGCAATTTTGAAAAAGAGGAATAAAATCTGAGGAAACAGTCTACCCGATTTCAAGACATATTATATAGCTATAGCAATCAAAGTTGTGTAGTATTGACAAAGGAACAGAACAGAGAACTCAAACAGACCCATGCAAATTAATTATTGACATCCAATTGATCATTGACAAAGGTGGAAAAGAAATTCAATGGAGAAAATATAAACTTTTTATCAAATAGTTGAATGACTAATTGGATATCTATAGGCAGAAAAATTAACCCATACAAAAAATAGCTCCAAGTGGAGTGTGGACTCAATTGTAAAAAGTAACCTGTAAATTTTTAGAAATATATGTGGGTGACCATTTTCATGTCTAAGGCTAGACAAAGAGCTCTTAGACCTGACACTAAAGGTACAATTCATAAAAAGAAAAACTGATGAATTAGACTTTATCAGAATGAAAAATGTTTGCTCTGCAAAAGATCCTGAAGAGGAAGAAAAGAAAAGGTACAGACTGGGAGATCATATTTGCAAATTATATGTCTAACAAAGGACTAGGATCTCGAAAATATAAAGAACTCTCCAAACTCAATGGCTAGAAAAACACCAGTTCGAATAGGGAAAAACACATGAACAGACATTTCACTAAGGATATAAAGATGGCAAATGTGCACATGAAAAGTTATTCAGCAACATTAGCAGTTAGGGAATGCAAATTAAAATCAAGATGAGATATCAGTACAAATCTATCAGAATGACTAACATAAAAATTGTGATAACACCAGAGCTGGTGAGGATACGGCAGAACTGGATCACTTATACTTTTCTGGTAGGAATGTAAAATGGTGCAGCCACTATGGAAAATAGTTTGGAAATTTAAAAAAAAATCAAACATGCAAGTGTTATACAATCCAAAAATTCTACTCTTGGGGATTTATTCCAGAGAAATGAAAACCTATGTTCACATAAAAACCTATACACAAAGGTTATAGAAGCTTTGTCTGTAATAGACAAAAAGTGGAAACAACTCAGACTATCCTTCAATGCGTAAATGGTGAAATAAGCCGTGATACATGTATACCACGGAATAATACTTAACAATAAAGAGGAACAAATAATTTATGGAATTTTAAAGAAATATGCTGAGTGGGGAAAAAAAAAGCCACCAACACCAAAAGGTTACATACTGTGTGATTCCACTTGCATAATATTCTTCGAATGATAAAACTGTAGCAACAGAGAACAGATGGATGGTAGCCAGGGATTAATGGGGGAGTGCAGGCTGGATGGAAGCATGTGGAGATGTAAAAGGGTGACTTGAAGAATCACTGGGGTGATGAGAACATTCTGGTCTTGATTATATTAATGTCAACATCCTTGTTGTGATATTGTCCTTGTTGTTTTATATACCAAAGGGTGTATAAGTTTCTATATTATTCCTCACCAGCGCATGAGAATCTACACTAACCTCAAAATAAAAAGCTTTATGAAAAACAAACAAAAAATAGCTTCCTGGGTGAAAAAAATTGTCACAGATTCTCTGAAAGGTAATCCTAGCCATTCTGGTAGTAGTGTATGGGTATCCTGTAAAGCAACTTTACCCAGCGATCAGCCATTTGTCTATAGGTTGATGTCCTTGCATTAAGAATTCAAAGCCTCCAACATTCTGAGAGTAGGACATAAGCACATTTCTAACCTGTGATGCTCATTTAGAAGTTGACACTAACGTGACTCCAACGTGTTACTGGGTGAATAGTTCATGAAAACCATGGAAAGGATAAGTCTGTGTTAAGCAATGCACCTTGTCATGAAGACCTCCTACATATTTAAAATGAAAACCCTATGGCTCTAGTAAATCGGAAACCTTGAGGTATAAATTGAGTACTTTGATTTTATGGTGCATTTCTTTTTCATAAAAAGCAAGGTAAGAATTCTCATATCTCAACAATTTGTAAAATATCTCTTACCGTTCCCTCTAATTGTCATCTTTCTGCCCCCTTCTCACTTCAACAAATGAGCCAGGGGAATCTTCATTTAGTCAAGTAGATGTACGCCAATGTTGCTGTTAAAAAGAAAGGCGCCCATTTGGTGAGCCAAATCACTTGCACACTTGAAAGAATCCTTTCTAGGATTTTATAAGCACAAGAAAACTTTCAATCGGATGATAAAAAATTTGATGTGCAGTCGAAGGAGCCAAGCCAGCCTGCTCTTTTCCTTCCTATCAGTTTTTCTGATACGTTTCTGGAACAATATGTTGTTCCAGAAATATTCTCAAGTAGTTTCTAAAACCCTAGTAACTTCTTATCCCAGAGAATAAAATAAAAATGATAACCATTCATCTCTGGGGTGCCTCGGGAGTGAACAGAATCATAAACTACACATGTCCTTATCCACACCATCCAGCAATAATATAATTCTGAAGTTTTCCCCAATAAATTCTGGTGCTGGGTCAGTTCTTGGTACTTTCAATCTGAGTAGGTTTGTTTATAACTTAGGCAGCTGCGTCTTTCATGGCAGGCATTTTATCGCTTTTGCCTAGAGCATGTGTAGAATGAATGCACCACAGGAAATCTAAGTAAAACTTTTTGAAAAATACTCATAGTCCTCTGTTTTTTGAACAGAGTTGTCAAATGACAGTTGCCATTTCACAAACAAAAAAACTAAGAATGTGGCCTCATTTTCACATTAGAATTGTCTTACTCCATTATGCATCCTATAGAGAGATACTTAACTTTTGTGAGAACCTCTGATTGTGGATATTTACATATAAGTTTTCTAGGTCTTGTCCATTCTTGGGGTTCCCTTAAACCATCAGGAAAGACAGAAGTGTGGTGAACAGATGTATTCGTTGTTTTGGAAACCATCCACAGAGGGGTTAACGGAGGCAATTATTTCCCCTTCCTTATAGGTATTTTAAAAGTCAAAGCAGAATATCTAAACATTTATTGAGGTATTGTTGTATCTGTTACGTGTAAGGTATTATATAAGGCTTCGGGCAGTGTGAGCAAGCAGCTTAAATCAAGCCCTTGCCCTCAAGTGGCTTGCAATCTAGCAAAACAAACATAACTATATTCAGTATAAATAAGTTCAATGAAGGTGTTGAATAATAGTGCAAGATGGCAATAGAATCTGTCATGGAATAATAGTTTGTTCTGAATTAAAGAAATTATACTTCAACACTTGACCTAAGGCTTGGGTCACAAAAGGAAGAGCTGATAGGAAGCAGAAAGCATGTAGGATGAGAACACCTCTGCTGAAGGTGTTGCTTTCTGATTTTCTAAAGAAATAGACTCTATATCATTTAGAGTATCCTCAGGAGTCAGAATTGTTATCAACTGACATGTTAATTTTCTAAGTATAAAATTCTTTATTTTCTGACAGCAATCTCAGACTAATTTGTGCCTTCCTTCCCCACCTCTGCCAATCCCAAACCCTGTGCTGCTGCGTATAGTTGCGGTGAGAAAAAAAAAATGCTATAGAGCTTTCTTGCTCTTCCCCACGAATTCTTAGGCTTCATCTTAGAAAATGTCCCAGAGAGTGAAACCCCTTGGGCTGCAGTTGGCAGAAGGACTGGACTGATAAAGTATTTTTCTCCTTCTTTGGGATGATGACACACACATTTTTCAGTGTCTCCTTAAGATGGAAGAGTTGAAAAGCTGGCTTAGATTCCTGGAGGAGGTAACAGTGAGCCTCCTGATTTACAGCTCACGCTTCTCTACCAATGTCTTTGCAGACACCAATCTGGCTTTGTAAAATCTCTCCCTAGCAGTGATGGCTCCGTCACTACCTAAGGAGCATGAGTGACGGCCTTGGTAGACAGAGCACTGGGCTGCCATCTACTGCCCCTGGCTTCCAACAACTGCCAGTGAGTTATTCCTGCCTATAAAAATGAAGACGGTAGGCATCTTTGCTGAGTTTGGTACCGTGAGGTCTAGGTGGAAATTTGGTTGGATTGATTATAATTCTACATAGAGAAGATGCTTACCCATATTTCATATTTTATTTTCTTCTGTACCCACAAATGTAATCTTTGGCAAGGTTGACCCTACTTCTGAATCTTAACATTTTCTCCCCTCTTTTGAAGGTTGCTGGACATTGAGAGTGAAATGATCAAATTCGCCAGTTACTACGCTGGAATCGCTTTGTTAGTACTCATCACAGGATATATTCAAGTGAGTAGCGCCTCCATTTTATTGATAGATCAACATCTGGGTTCAGAGATATTACAATGAAATGCAAGCTTTTAAGCTGTTCAGAAGCCCTCAGGATACAGTTTTATTTGGAGGTGGAGTGGGGTGTGTGAGAGAATGGGGAAGGATTCTTCTTTTCAGATGAGGAGGAAAATACATGCAGTTATCTAGAGAGAAGGAGAATAGACTTTGAATTTCAATGCTCTGTCCTCCCCTTCTCCCTCTACTTCATCTTCTAAACTCAAAAATAGGCAGTTGTGGGAGTGTTTGTAAGGGGAGCATGAGCACCCTGGAGAAAGGCAGGAGGTGTTGGAGGAAAGCAAACTCTTTCTTTTTCACTTTCATTGCTAAAATCTCAGCAGTCTGTGTTTCAAACCAAATTCTGTAAACCGAATCTAGAGTGTACTCTAGATTTAAGCCATGGAAAGGCTTAGAGATACTTACCCCTTAATAAAGAAGTAGAATATTTCGTCTTTTACCCACTTCTCTAGAAAAAATAATGAAGCCCTTCAGCCCCCATTCATCCAAGAATTCCAGGAAGTTCATGTTCACTTTAAAGAGAAAGGAATCAAATTTTCCCATGCTGGTACTGAGAGTTTTAATGACAGCCTGACTTTGCTTGGTTGGAGGCAGTTATCAGTAGATTTATTCCATGCTTATGTCATAAGTTTTGTTTTACTTGCTCTGAAAATTATTGTCCAACAGTCTGAAAACTATGCATACATGTTTGTTGTCAGGCCTCTCAGGGGGAAAACAATACACCCAGCAGCATCATGCAAAAATAGGTATATATGAACAAGAATTTCTTTTTGGCTCTGTTATCCTTTACGCATGTGGAAGGTGAAGCTCGGTAAGGTTAGATCTATCAGTGGCAAAGCCAAATTCACACCCAAACCTTCTGGCTCCCCTGGCCACAGCTCTTCTGTTCAGCCCACTTTCAGCAGCAGGTGCCAGAGCTCACCGTATCTCCCATGATGCAGCTTTCTGTGAATCACTTTCTTTTTTTCCTCAAGTCTTACATGGAAAGTATTTTCTTCTGCAAAGAGAAGGAATTAACAAACATTTTTTTAACATCACGTGCCAAACATTCCTTGCTCCATTTTCAGATATGCTTTTGGGTGATTGCTGCAGCTCGTCAGATACAGAAAATGAGAAAAATTTCCTTTAGGAAAGTAATGCGAATGGAAATAGGATGGTTCGACTGCAATTCAGTGGGAGAGTTGAATACAAGATTTTCTGAGTAAGTGGCTGGTGGGCAGTTTTTATGTATGTGTGAGTTTTTGATGATAGAGCCCTTATTTCTAAATTAAATAACAATTAGAAACACATTTTCAGTTATTTTGGATGTATTTTGTCTCTTAAATTGGTCTTTTACAGGCAGCATAGTTTTTTCATAGGTGACATTTTATCTGATATGATCATTAAAAATTGAAAGGCAGGATACTACAGTTTATTTTTTGTAGGACCTTGATTAAGATATTAGAAATGAAGTATTACATAAGAGAGTTAAAAGAAGTAGGGCTATTTGGCCTCTAAAAGAGAGACTGAGGGATGTCACAACCCATTTATCTGTAAGGAAAAACAATGTAATTAGAATGAATTATCTTGCCTTATCTATTAAGGCCATTTCTACGCATAAAAACAAAGACCAAAAAATCCAAAGTAGTTCAAGAAAGATTTGAACTAAACAACTAGATTTAAATCTAGTTTATACCTAAAGACCAGTTAGAGCCATTCACGGCCCTCCTTCCCTCCTCCTTCAGGTATTTTGAATGAGCCCTGAGTAATTAGAAGTACTTGAATCCTATTGAACAGAAATTTGGGGTCCTGTGAGGGCCCATGAGAGAGTGTGTAGTATAGGGAAGAGCAAAGACTGAATGTTGAGATACTTAGATGCTACTCATTCTGCCCCTTACTTACTGTGGCCTTGCACAGATACTTAACCTTGCTGGGATACAATTGTCAACTCTGTGGGTAATATCTTAGTCCTTTTTTTTTTTTTTTTTTTTTTTTTTTGCTACTGAGTCCTAAGCCCTGTTTGCTCCATCTGAGCAAGAGATTATGGGAATGTTCCTAGGAATATGAATTTTTTTAAAGATTTTATTTATTCATGAGAGACACACAGAGAGAGGCAGAGACCCTGGCAGAGGGAGAAGCAGGCTCCCTGTGGGGAGCCCAAGCAGGACTCGATCCCCGGACCTTGGGATGACGACCTGAGCCAAAGGCAGAAGCTCAACCACAGAGCTACCCAGGCATTCCTCCAGGAATATGAATTTAATGTTACTATATTCAACTAATATTTTGGACGGCTTACCCTAGGCAAGCCATAAAGATAAACTACACAACTCCTGACCTCAGGGAACTCACCATCTAGGTGAGTAGGAGGGATAAAAGGTGCAAGCAAATAAATAATCAGAGCTGACACATGGATAGCTTACTATACTGTAGGCACTGTTCTACATACTTAACATACATTAGCTAATCCTCATTACAATCCATTAAGGCAGGTTCTGTCATTGTCCCCATTTTATAGATGAGGAAACTAAGGCACAGAAAAGTTAAGTAATCTGCCCAGGAAAAGCTTGTGTTGAAATTCAGAGTCTGGCCCCAGTCTGTGCTCTTAACCAACCCCCATTCCATACTGCCGGTAGGCTGAATGCAATAATCGCATACACAGATTCATTACGTTGGTTATGCAAACACAGGGAGGAAGAGATTACCTTTTCCTCAAGAGTTTTTATGAATTCGGTGGTGTGTGGGTTGCAGCTCGAGGCTGAAAGGATTTAGCAGGAATAACGAAGGAAAGGACTCCACAGGACAGACCAAAGATGTGAGCTATAAGAAAGAAAGAGACAGGGCAGCCCGGGTGGCTCAGTGGTTTAGCGTCGCCTTCAGCCCAGGGCATGATCCTGGGGACCCGGGATCAAGTCCCACATCAGGCTCCCTGCTTGGAGCCTGCTTTCTCCCTCTGCCTGTGTCTCTGTGTTTCTTGTGAATAAATAAATAAAATCTTTTTTTTTTTTTTAAGAAAGAAAGAAACAAATAAGATGGTTTCTGAAAGTCTTTGTCAACATTGGATGGACACCAGTTGGGAAAACTGGGTTGAGGACAAACTTACTCCTTGAGGGAGGGAGAGGCTCCATGACCTCACAAGCTGCAGCAAGTTTCTTCAAAAGTGAAAGGCTCTTATGTTTCACAGGCAATGGGATATGGTGATGCCAATAGAAGGGAAAGGCTGGAATTTCTCAACAAGACATTTGAATTGACCAAATTCAGTTTTAGTGATCAAAGCCTCTTCTGTTTCTAGCGATATTAACAGAGTCAATGATGCCATTGCCGACCAAATGCCCATTTTCATTCAGCGCATGACCACGAGCATCTGTGGCTTCCTATTGGGATTTTACCAGGGTTGGAAACTGACCTTGGTCATTATCTCTGTGAGCCCTCTCATCGGGATTGGAGCAGCCATCATTGGTCTGGTAAGAATGTCTTTTCACTTCTCTCCAAGATATCTGCACTGAGAAACAGCCAGAAATGTGAAACTTGATTCCTTTTTCCTATTTATGTTTAGTCAGCATTATTATCACTGTTTTGTTGTGTTTTGGTTGATTCTTCCTTAGTATCAAATAACATTCCATCAATCCAGGGATTGATGATATTTTAATAACGTAAATATTATTGCGTTAATAACAATAGCAACTACGTTTGTTAAGGATTTGCTATTTTGCCAGGCACTATTAGGAACTTCATATATATTATCTCTGATCTTTACAACAATCTTATAAAGTATTAATGTCATTTAAACATTAGAAATGGAGACTCAGAGACGTAAGGGACTTGTCTGGGGTTGCACAGCTAGCGAGTGACAAAACTAGATTCAAATACAAGGGACGCTGACTCCAAATCCCCACCCACTCTCTCATATGTCTGTTGCTTCCCATGGTCTCCCAAGCTCAGATATTTTCTTCAAAAAGGCCCAACAAATGGACCCAGATCAGTAACAAACACATAAACGAGATTTCTGCAGTCACAGCTGTGTTCTCCATGCAGTCGGATCAGTTTCAGAATGAAGTGACCTGGCCCATTCTGAGTAGTATCTTGGCATGCAGGCCAGGAAAAATGTAGCAGTAGGAGTTTGGGGTCATCCCAGTGAAATCCTAGGATTAATAAATTATTATATCATACTTCTAGAGCAGCTGCCTTAGATAGCAGCAGATCATGAGATCTGGCTCACTAATAGTTTACTGTAAGTGAGCATAGATTTCGGGTGGAAAGCTGCACACCCTCACATCATGGAGCAACAGGGAACCAATCTCCATAAAATTTTCTAGCAAAATATTCTCTACAATCCCGTGGCTATATTACTCAAACGTTTCCCAGGTCGTACAGAGTGACAATGGCAAAGAGTTCACTCCTCTCAACTGGCCACTAACCTGACTCTACCAACTGGCTCAAGAAAGATATATTTAGCCTGTTTTGTTTTGAGGAAACTTTTGTTCCTCATCTTGAAGATAAGGATAATGCCTCCCAAAAGCCACTGTGATGACTTAAGGCATAGTCCATGTTATCCACTCAGCATGACATCTGGCACAGAATTAATTGCTAAAGAGATAATAGTTTTTAGTTTTTCCAATCCACCATGTTGTGCAAGCTTTATAACAATCTTTCCTATCAAACACTTTCTAGCTTCACTCCAGAAAAGCCTCACTCTCCACAGGCGATCTTTGGGGATTCTGTGGAGAATTCCACAGCTTTTTTGATTCAGCTTTTTTCAGCTAAATACACTTAATCTCTTTTCTCAAACCTGTGATTATTTAATATTCATACTTAGATGGGCAATATGTTACATTTCAACATGGTGGAGATGTAGCCTGGGCAACCTGATTTGAACAGGCTTAGGGGATGGTTTCTCTTACTATCTCAGGGCCCGTATTTCAAGTTCTTGTTAATGTGTCACTGATTTGGAATGCTGTAGCTCTGCACTGGTTTCTTCCTGAATTCAAGTCTGTGCATGTTTGTGTAAAATGATACAAGCAACCTCACTAGGCCCAATTCAAAAGCAGGACCAAGAGAAAAAGCAGGAGGGTGCAACATATGACATGTTACATGTTAATGAGGGTTTTGTATGCCTGTGTCGGACTTTATTTTTTTTTTAATTTTTTTTTAAAATTTATTTATGATAGTCAGAGAGAGAGAGAGAGAGAGGCAGAGACATAGGCAGAGGGAGAAGCAGGCTCCATGCACCGGGAGCCCGATGTGGGATTCGATCCCGGGTCTCCAGGATCGCGCCCTGGGCCAAAGGCAGGCGCCAAACCGCTGCGCCACCCAGGGATCCCCTGTGTCGGACTTTAATATTTACCATGAGAAACATGAGCTATCATTAAATATTTTCCAATTTACATCTTTTAAGCTCCTGTGTCAATTTAACAGAAGTATCCTGAGATTATTTAATATGCAATAAATTACAATAAAATTATTAATATTCATAACTACTTAGTTTCCTCAATACATAATTTAGAAATAAATTAGAAGAGGATTGTGGTAAAAACTACAATGTCCATAACATGTAAATTCAGATTTTAATGTTGATGAAAATAGCCCTATTTCCTTGTTGTTGTCTTTTCAATTCACAACTTTTATAAAATGTGGACTTGTGACATAAATATGTTGTAATAACATTTACTTATTTTATATCTTAGAATTATGTTTAAGACTGTGTTTGAGAAGAGTTCTGCTACTAAAAGTTTGGAAATTTTTGGAGGATAAACTTCTTTAGTCTGGATACTATATATATTTTAGATTTTTGAGTTGTTGATCTTCTATAATATTTGCTTGTATTCATTCCGGTGTCTATCTGTGCCAGGGATTTCTTTGGTGATTAATTATAATTACAACTCAATCTAAGTCCAATTTTAGAAAAAGCAACTTGTTAAATATTAAGGGCAATGTCTCTTTTGTTCTTTTTGTAAGAAGTAAAGCTAGTTAGTTGAGCCCCTACATTTGAGTCAAAATGCTTTGATATTTATCTGGAGCTTTCTCTTGTGTGCAATTACCTCTGCAGCATCACGAGTCTCTTTATGGTCAGGACCTCTCTCTCATTCTATACTCTGAGTAACCTCCAGTCTCTGTCTCTGGTGTTTGTCTGTAAGCTGTGCGAACATTCTGTAGTCAATAGCAATGAAATGTGACATGGTTTCATTTGAAAATTTCATTAGTATCATAAGTGAAACACTGTGGTCTTACAGAATCCCCTCTTGGGGACTCACTCTGTGAGAAGGTTCTTGAGGCTGACTTCTTTTTTTTTTATTTTATTTTTTATTTTTTTATTGAGGCTGACTTCTAAGGAAGTCATTTTGATATGCTAACAACCAAACACTCATGGGTGGGGCTTAACATGGGTCAGACTTGGACCAGATTCTTTCCTTGGTGAGCCGTTATAGTGAGAATCCAGTATTAAATCACCCTACCTGTTTACTCTGCTAAATGAATCACCAAATGACAGGCTGACTTACTTCATTGCCTGGTCTTCATGTTTTGTTTTCTTCTTTTGGATTTTAGAGTGTGTCCAAGTTTACTGACTATGAATTGAAGGCCTATGCCAAAGCAGGGTCAGTGGCAGATGAAGTCATTTCATCTATGCGAACAGTGGCTGCTTTTGGTGGTGAGAAAAAAGAGGTTGAAAGGTTGGTTTATTGAAATGTCTACCATATTCCTGAATTTCATCGTTCAGCACATTACCCTAGATCCTCCCCATTTTGTACAAAGTGGCAGATGTACCTTGGTCTGTTTACCCTGAAAGAGCTTTTATTCAAGAGTTAGCTGAGAGTATTAGTTGGGCACAGTGCTACAAGGACCCCTAAGTCTTTAGCTGTATGTTTTTGAAAATGTTGTAGTTGGAGATTTTTAGAAAGCTATCTTAGGTTAGGTATGTATTTCAACTCTGGTGGTGTGCGTGCACGCATGCTATACACATCATAGCGGTCGGTAACACTGTTTGCTCCATGATCTAAAATGCAGTTCCACACATTTTTATTCGGTGTCTTTTATTCAGCTACTGTACTACATGCTCTTTATAAAGTCTGATAAAATTTCCATTTAATCATTGTTTGATTAAATTTTGTTGATTTATCACTGGGTATATTACAGACCATCATTCTAGGAGATTAATTTTTAATGAAAATAAAAAACCTAAATGACCAAAACAATACAGCTGTCAAAATTTTGATTTTGTTTTTTCTGCCTTTTATCTAGTATTTATTAAGTGCTTACCATGTGCCAGGTACCGATTTTATAAAATAGCCACCAATTTAATTAAACTCTTATTTCATGAGTTGTAGATCTAGTATGATGATGCCATTCTCAGTTGTTACCAAATAAAAAAGAATAGAATTCATAATCTTTAATCGTTCTCTTTTCCTTTCCCCCCCCTTCTTTTGGTCTATGCAGTGAAGTTACCTTGTTTCTCACAAAAAAATTCAGTAGCATACTTCCTCCACCATAAAAGATGTTAATAATAGCAGCATTGTAAATGTTTTGAAAATAGTACCAAACATAGGGTAGACCTTTACTTTGTCCTGTGAAATATTAAAAGTATGCCATGAATTTATGTTTTGAGATAAAGGCAGGTACAGAATGTCTGAACTTTAAGACGATGCTAGTTATTAATACCTAAATCATAGAATCACTGAAGGTTAGTGCTTTGATTGAATTTCTACGGTAGTTATCCATGTCTCACGGCTGTGAACCCAACCGGTCATGTTACAACATAGTATTCTTGGTCACAGGGCAGATGAGTGAGTGTATATGGAGATGAGTCAGCGCAAACACTGGTTTTAAACCTGGGGGAAAACAGTTGCATCATTTTCTGATAGAAAGCATGCTGTGTGACTTGATAAAAACAATGTAAGCACAAATAGTACTAGATCCCTCATGTTCAAACATTTGTGTTGAAAATTCTTTTCTCTTGGGATAAAGTTCTCACTTTTCTCACACTATTCTTTTTTTAATATTTTATTTTATTATTAATATTACAGAGAGAGAGAGCACAAGCAGAGGAACAGCAGAAGCAGAAGGAGAAGCAGACTCCCCACTGGGCAGGGAGCCCAATGCAGGGCTCAAACTCAGAACCTTGAGATCATGACCTGAGCCAAAGTCAGCCACTTAACTGAGCCACCCAGGCGCCCTATCTCATACTATTCTTTTCCGAGAAGTAATCAAGTGTGAGGTTTTGTTAGGCATTGTTCCTCCAACACATTTCATTGCCAGATTGAAACAAACTAAATAACAACATGGAAGTTTTTGTCATTTTCTTTCCCGAAAGTTGCTGGGTAGCTTGGGTGATTTTATGACCATTGAGTAGGAGCACTGCATTGTGGACTGTTTTCAACATTCTAACTTGCACTGCTGCTGCTGCTGCTGTAGACACAAATGCTTTCTCTTCACAGGTACGAGAAAAATCTTGTGTTTGCCCAGCGTTGGGGAATTAGAAAAGGGATCGTGATGGGATTCTTTACTGGATTCATGTGGTGTCTCATCTTCCTCTGTTATGCATTGGCCTTCTGGTATGGCTCCAAACTTGTCTTAGAGGATGGAGAATATACAGCAGGAACCCTTGTCCAGGTACTTTGGTCTCAATGACCTATACATAAAATTTCCTACTGGTATCTTGGAAAAGCCTACAGTTAAAGCATTTTGTTTATTCCTTTAGTGTCTGAGGGAGGAGAGCATCAATGACTTGACGGAGTCCATCTGCAGAAACAAGCAATACCTACACATTTTATAGTAAAGGAACACTGAGCATTTGAATTGATGAGGCCAGCGATTTAATGATTTCCAATTAACTGAAGATTTTATAGCTGTAAAACTATGATTTTCTGACTGAGTCCAAAAGATAATATGCTGTGAAAATATAAGGTAGTGAGCTCTCAGCTAAAAATTAACAGCTCATGTAGTTAAGTTTAATAATAGTACAAGATATGTGCTAATGGACCTATTTGTGAAACATGATGAGGTACTAAAATACAAAACCAATAATATCCTCAACTGAACAGGTAATACAACCATATTTTATTGTTCACTTGTGCTATAGCCATGCTATCACGGATGCCATGACTACCTTAATTTTCAGTATTTTTTCAGTTGTTCTTTCAAGAATTATTGAGCATCTACTATATGCCAGACCCATACAAAGCACAGAGGATTCAATAATGAGCAAAAGATATGTGATCTTTTCCTGATGCAATTTATAGTTTAGTGGGGGAAAAGAAACAATAATTAAACAACCACATCAATGCCTAATGACAGATGAAAACATGTGCTATAGAAGACAAGGAACATTAACAATGAATTGCAGGGTAATCAGGTGTGGACAGAGTCAGAGAAAGCTCTTTCTCTTGCTCATTAACCCAATGTCTTTCCTCCTTAGTTTACAGCTCCTCTCATTTAAGCTGGACTCTTGTCATTGTTCTCATTATCAGCTGAATGGCCCCTCCCCAATAAGGCCTTCCATGTTCCTTGAGTCTTTTATTCTCTTGTATGGCTTGCTGAACTTTTCCTTTAGAGCTCTTGAATGAAATTGAACATTTGGGTTTATTTACATTTGTTCCTACCCTTTCCTGTCCTCACACAGGAGGTGTGTGCCCGTTACACATGAGGTCAGTGAGATAAAACAAGAAATACATGTTTCATTTGGCCTATTAATTATTTAATTAAGTATATGAATTTTTAAAAGATTTTATCTATCTATCTATCTATCTATCTATCTATCTATCTATCTATCTAAGAGTGCCTGTGTGTTAGCCAGAGGAGGGGAAGAGGGAGAGAGACAGAATCTCAAGCAGACTCTGTCCTCAGCACAGAGGATGAAGCAGGGCTCAGTCTCTTGACCCTGAGATCATGACCTCAGATGAAATCAAGAGTCGGGTGCTTAACCAGACTGAGCCACCCAGGTGCCCTATAATTAATCATGTTAATATTAAAAGCAAGGAGATAAGAAGCAGTTTCATATAAGATTCTTAAATAAAATATTTTGGCTCAAGATTCTAGGTGAGACAGCACCAATTAAACAATGAGAAATGCCAAAATCTGATATGCTAAAAATTTGCTAGCTGATAGCTTATAATTTGAAGTCTACTGCTTTAATATAAATACACTTGTAGGGAAAGTTGAATGGAATTTTATTTATTAATAGAGATGATTATCAGAGGTCAAACTATAGTCAATCTAAACTACTGACTATTTCATTAACAGTTTGCGAATACACTAAGAACAGCTTTTTAAAATTCAGTTCTTTGCAAGATGAACAACAGGCATCACTTGAACTTTGCTTTAAAAAATTAAGTATGATAAGACATGTTAAAGTGTCTTTTGAAACTATAGATGGAAAATGTTGCTATTATTGTAATTTAACCACTTTCTTAACAACTCTAATATAGCTGTGAACATTTGAAAAACCAGTGAAAATATTACAGATATGAAACCTGACTGTGAAGTCCCTTGTCTTTACTGATCTAATGGCTGTTAGGAACTTTCAACATTTAGTAGTTGACTTTAGTCCCAGCTGCTTATATCTGCTCATTCTGCAGAAAAAGATGCACTAAGAAAATACATCCTTCCTTTCATTCCATGCCTGCAAGGAGAGGACAGAGATGTGCACAAGTAACAGTTCAGAGGGAAAAATGAATTGACAAATTGGAAGTCAAATAATACACAATTCCAATTGTAAATGCTGAATTTAAAAACCCTTTGATTACTCTCTCTAGCAGGAATCCAATTTTATGGTTCTGTTAAAAGATAAACTGAGGCATATTAAAACTTTTAGAAGATTTTTTTAAAAGATTTTATTTATTTATTCATGAGAGACATAGAGAGAGAGTAGGAGATTTTTTTAAGCAAAAATAATTCCAATCAGGCAGCACCAAACCAGAAGTGATGAGAGGCCACTCTCTACCCACAGGAGCAGGGGAATGATTTTTATAGAGGAGAGGCAGAAGCAAAGCAAAAAGATTGTCTGATCTGTTCAGTTTAAGCAGTTCCGTTGCCTGGGGGAGCATGATTGACCATTCGTGATCACTTTTCCTCAGGTTTTTTTTTTATTTCTTAATGGAGGCATTTGCGCTTAGATTTTGGTTTGCTCATAGAAGCTATTGAGGCAATAAATCAACCTCAGCCTAATGGCCTCCTCGTTTAACTAACTAGACACTCCTCAGCTTCAGGTGTCCACTCTTGTCTATGTCTTCTGTAAATAATTTGGCTGAGAGAGTACTTAATATGTGCAGATGTGACATCCCCTGTGTCTCTAACATTTTAATCATCAATTATTAACCTTACCTCTTATTCCTAATGCCTTCCTGCAAGCCTCTGCTTACACCTTAAGAAATACACCTTTGGGAAAATGAGAGATCTCCATTAACAGTATAACCATTGATTGTTCTCTCTCTTTCTCTCTCCCTTCCTCTGCTCCTTCATCTCTTTCTTTGTCTCACTCATGTGTGCAGGCACATTTTTGGTCATACTTCTGAGTAGCAAACTATGAAGTCTGAGTGTACATGAGCCGAGTTGAGTATATTAATCCACTAAACTAATTACTAATTAGGTTAATCAAATATATTTTTTTGGTACACAAAATCATTATTGGCTGTATGGTAACTGAGCATATATGGTAAATGGTTCATGTAAATGACTGTGATTAGTATCACTTGCACACAGACTAAAAAACAAACTCTGTGATCTATTAGGAGAGAAGATGAAAGGGAATTGAAGAGTCCAGAAGGCTGCTCTTTCATGCTTGCCAGGTTTCAGGACTCAATAATAAAAAATAATATCAGGAATAAAGTAACATGTATAAGGTACCAAGCGCTCAGTGACATATTTCATACAAATACTATATGTCATATCAAAATTTCATTCTGTATTGATGTCACTATACTACTAATTAAAAACAAAATGGAGCCATGAGGTTGAAAAATATGTGCTAAGGGGTTTGGAGTGGGATATAAACACACGTGTCTGTGCCTCTTGGATCTGACTCATTAACCACTGTTTTCCTGCCTCTGGATCCTGCTTCCAAGGAGCCACTGAGCCCCTTTTCCTCAGCACAGCACACCCATAGATATATTGGTCCCCAGTGGTCTCTTTTGCCTTTCTTCTTTCCACATTGCTGTCCAAGGGGCTAGCGTACAACGTTTGGGGTGGGAAATGATGGTCTGGGATGGGTGCTAGCTTTTTTTTTTTTTTAAAGATTTTATTTATTTATTCATGAGAGATACAGAGAGAGAGAGACAGAGACATAGGCAGAGGAAGAAGCAGGCTCCTAAAAAATAAAAAATAAAAATTAAATTAAATTAAATTATACTAAATTAAATTAAATTAAGAAAGAAGAAGCAGGATCATTGCAGGAAGCCTGATGCAGGACTCGATCCCAGGACCTCGGGACCCTGACCTGAGCCAAAGGCAGACACTCAACCACTAAGCCAGCCAGGTGCCCTGGGTGCTAGCTATTGTGATAATATTAGGTACATACTTCTGTCCTGTCTCACTCATTCTCCCGAAGTACCCTGAGGGAGATATTTGCAAAGCCAGGCTGAGCAGGGTTTGACTGCCAACCTCAGCTTAGGTCCCTCGTGATTCAATCTAGAATCTAGAGCAGAAGTCTGCAAACTATGGCCCTCCAGCCAAATCTAACTTGATGCCTGTTTTTGTGAATAAAGTTTTATTGGAACACAGCCACAGCTATTTGTTCATTCTTGTCTCTGGCTGTTTTTATAGTATGTAGCAGAGTTGTGTAATTGCTTTGGAGCCCTTATGGCCTAAAAAGTCTAAAATATCTGTTATTGGCCCATTATAGAAAATGTTTGCTGATCCTTGATCTAGGACATGTGAAAGGTTTCCTTTGCTCAGGTGGTCTGATAAAGGTGGTCTTAACCCAATTTAGAGAAGTACTGTGCTATCTATTCACCGTATCATTTCCTTGTGTGGAATCTTACTTCTTTCAGCATCATCACTATTATTTATGTGTCTAACACTGGATTAATCACCTTTCAACTAATCATTGCATTTAATGCTCATAAAAGTCCCATGAGTTATATGCTTTTAGAACTCCTGTGTTACAGATAAAGAAATTTAGGGCTTGAGAGATGAAGTAATCTGACCATGGGAAGAACTACCTGCTGTAATTAAGGAAAAGGAACAAGAATGATGAAGAGAGAATATCCCACACATGGAGTGGGGAATTCAGGGAGAAGGCAAGAGGGGACTGGTGCACATCATCATGATATGTGGAATGCGGTTACTGGAGAGGAAGGGAGGTAACTGGGAGGCTCTGAGGAGTCTCGTGGTCCAGACACAAGACTGAAAGAAAGCAGGGAAGCCATTATAGGCTAGGTTCATTTGACTGCCTGAAGAAGACTACATTCAGGCAGCAGCCAATCTTCAGCTCAGCAAGTAACTCTTGTCCCTGACGGAGGGTGCCCAATGAAACATCCTCTGTGAGCTTCATGTGACTAGCATCCATTTGGTCAAAAGGAGTCTTTTGCTCCTCCAAAGGCACGTCACGTGACAATTTGCCCCATTGCCTCTTCCTTTATAAAGAGCACTGATAAACACAGAGTGCTATTTGGTAGGAACATCTGCTCATGCTCAAGTTGCCTTCCCCTAATTTAATGAAATGACAGGGTTGGTGAGGTAAAGGACAGCTTCCTCAGGATTGCACAGGGACCTGGCCATAGCAACTGCATGTCATGAGCAGCAGAAGGGCCTATTTGCAGGACAGAATGTCAGTCAATAGCCTGGGTGCAAATACTGCTCTACCACTTAATATATGTTGTAATGTAGGGTCAGTTAGGGAACCTCCATACACCTTGGTTTTTTTCTTCTGTTGCATGGATTAGATGAAGTAACACAGATAAAGAGCTTAGAAATATACCTTAGCAAAAGTAATAGTAGTAGTAGTTATCCTAGTAATAGTCCACTAGTAGCAATAACACGGCAGTAGGAGCAAGCCTGTATTACAGGTACCAATCTCTAGGAAAATCAAGCTAATCATACTGTCTTTACTGAAGAAGGCTACATAAGGCTGTTTATATTACAAAGTGAATTATCCTATCACTACTCTAACTCACTTTGTGTCTATATGCTGCCTTGCTTAGACCTCTTACTCATTTCAAAATATGTTCTTCTTTGTAGTGTTCTACACTCTTGTAGTGTAGTGTTCTACACATAGGTGTTCAATTAAAAATAAATGTAGTCTTTTAAACCATAATAATAGAAAAAATGGAGATACTTTACAGAACCAAAACTATTCAGGTATTTCTAAAGAGCTATTTAGGTTTCAAACTCCCATGGAGGAATATTTCTGAGAAACATCTGAGCTCAAATGATAGCACTATTTACAAATTGACAAAAACACATGAAAACTGGGTTTATCTCTTTTCATTTCAGATTTTCCTCAGTATTCTATTAGGAGCTTTAAATCTTGGCAATGCATCTTCTTGTCTGGAAGCCTTTGCAACTGGGCGTGCAGCAGCCACCAGCATTTTTCACACAATAGACCGGGTATGTAAAAGCCAAAATAAAGGCCATGAGCAGATTGGGCGTGGGGAGAAAAATGAATTTCCAAGGAATTTACCCTTAATATTAAAAAAAATATAAGGGAATACCACAATGCTCTTAATTCAGCAATACTTAATAAGGGTAGTCATGAGCCAGATCCCATACTGAGTTGGGACTGCGGGAGTGAAATAGAATGAATAAGGCCCTTGCTCTCCTATCATACTAGAAAATAGGCAAAAAAGAAGGAAGCACATTTATGGATCTAGAGGGTATTTTGCTTAGTGAAATAAGTCAGAGAGAGAAAGACAAATACCACATGATTTCACTTATATGGAGAATCCAAAAAGCAAAGCAAATGGACAAACAAAATACTAGAAACAGACTCATAAATACAGGGAACAAACTGGTGGTTGCCAGAGAGGAGGAGGCTAGGGGCATGGAGTGAAGGGGATAAACTTCTAGTTGTAAAATAAATAAGCCACAGGGATGAAAAGTACAGCATAGAGAACATAGCCAATAATATTGTAATAACTTTGTGTGATGGCGGAAGGTAATTACACTTACCTTGGCTAGCATTTGGTAGTGTGTGTCATTGTTGGATCACTATACTGTACACCTGAAACCCAACTTACTTCAGGGAAAAATGGAAGTTAAAAAAAGACATAAGTACACTCAAAGATGGGATAATGTTAGTACAATAAAGGAAATAAAATAGGGTGGTAACAGTTGGGGTGGGAGGAGGAGTCTTTAGGTGTCAATAATGTCATCTCTGAGGAGGTAGTATTTGCCCTGAGAAGCCCAGGAGAGTCAGCCAGGCACAGTGAGGTTTAGAGGAGGAGCAGTGCACGGGAAATGAGAGCAAGGAGGCTGTTCCTGCAAGAGATGCCCCCTGGTTGGAAGAGGATTGGTGAATCCGAGGACCTCAAATGAGGTCACTGTGTCTGAGCAGCGTGAATAAGAGCACAGAGGCTGGAGAGAGGAAAGGCCAGATCATGCAAGATTGTAGGGCCAAGTTCATAAGTTTGGATTATCTTCTAAACGTGACAGAAAGTCTCTACAAGCTCATATAGGATTCTGGTAGCCTAGCTAGGATTTTCCTGGGTAATCTACTGAAGCACATTGGAGGTCTAGCCAGAAAGTCAAAATCCAAGAATAGAAGGTGGAAGAGGGCAAGATGTTCTTCTCTGGAAGCCCTGGAAATCCAGAGGTGTTTCTTTAGTCCCCTAAATCTGAAGTATTTATGAAGCATATAACCTGCCCAGGGAAATTATTCATCACTTTGTTTTATATTTGAGAGTTTCACATATTGGAGTATAAACAGATTGTTGAAAACCACATAGACACATTGAGCTATCCAAATTCTACCTCATTCTTAGGGTTGTTATATGCTCAGATAAGATGGTGAGTCTAAAAGGCCTTTGAAACTATTACAAAAAACTAAGGCATTTAATAATTGCTTTATTATCTTTACTAGAAACCCAAAAGGAAGAAAGCAGATTACACTCTTGTCCCAAATAGAGATATGGTCATGAATTTCTTTCCCGAGTGTAGGAGGGGAATGAAGCTGACCCTGGAGTGTTCTGGTAGCAAGAGATGGCCCTCACTCTTTTCTGATTAACTAGAATGGTTAAATTCCAGATGAGGCTCACACTACTAACAACAACAGAGATGAAATTCAGCATAACAACTGAAAGTTGGTAGTATTTGAGGGACCCATTTAAGACATTCAGTTAGTTTTAATCATCATTTATGATAGGTACTCAGTTGTAGAGTACTATTGGACCCCAGCTTGGCTGACTAGTTGTGTGGCCTTAGGAAAGATACTTAACCTCTCTGAGAGTTCTCATCTTCCTCAATTGAAGAATTGAGCATATCACCTGTCTAGTTAGGTTATAGTGACAATTACATAAATGACAAAACCACATTAAAATACCTTGTGAATTGTCTTCTATGGGATCTCAATAATATAATAATATATAATAATATGAATATATTATATACTAATATAATTGTAGATAAATACTGTATATTATATTATTATTATGTATTATATTATTAATATTACATATTAATAATATAAATATATTATGTCATAGTAGTATATCAACAAATAGTAAAATTAAATTAACTAGATGTAATTAATGTGAAGTTATATATAAATTATATATTGACATTTCATATTGATAACTAATTATAAATTAATTATGTGTATATGTTTGATTACCTATTAATATATTATATATGTAATATAATATACCAATACTATTAATATCTAGTAATATAATACTTCATATTAATATCTCAGTAACTGTTAGTATTATTACTATTATTGATTAATAGTTAATGTGGAAGCAACTTTGGTGTAGTGTTTTACCGAATTGCTTTTCTGTTTTATGAGTAAATTCAAACCAAGATGGACAATAAGTGCATATATATGTGTTGTTGCTGTATTCCTTTTATATTCTGCTCCAGAAACCCATCATTGATTGCATGTCAGAGGATGGCTACAAGCTGGATCGAATTAAGGGTGAAATTGAATTCCATAATGTGACTTTCCACTATCCTTCCAGACCAGAGGTGAAGGTAAGAGTTCATTGTTTTCCCAGGAACTGCAGCATTTTTTCTTCTTTGATGATTCATATCCAGGGCCACAGATTAATCATTTTTCTAAAGCATGACAATTTCCAGGAAGAAGGATCAGAAGCACGTTCCTCTGGAAGTATCCTTAGGCATCATGTCATTTCACAGTCAACAAGTCACATTCCTTTACATCAACAACACTGTGCAGATTCCTCTGGTGAGGACATTCAGGTTAGGTCAGGTGAAGGAGGCTCCTCTGCTGAAGTGAGTGGCAGGGCCTGTCATTGTAAGTATAAGCTGAAAACAAACTACAAGGCAATCAGAACAATCAAGAAGTGCAGGTGTAGACGTCAGAATACTGCGTGGGCAGGGTACTTCTGGCAAAGAAAAGCTGGTGCCTTTGTAGTTTTTTACTTCCTGTGTATAACTTCACAAAGGTCATTAGATCAGTCATGGGAGGAAAGGTAATCTTGTGACCTCATGCTCATGTGTCTTGTGCTACGTGATTGCCAGGGCACATGATGAAGAAAATTTAGTTTTCCTGCACCTACACAGCAAGTATCTTAAAAAAAAAAAAAAGATTTTATTTATTTATTCATGAGAGACACAGAGAGAGAGAGAGGCAGAGACACAGGCGGAGGGAGAAGCAGGCTCCATGCAGGGAGCCCAGTGTGGGACTCGATCTCAGATCACACCCTGGGCCGAAGGCAGGCGTTAAACTGCTGAGCCACCCAGGGGTCCCCCACAGCAAGTATCTTTAAAAGCAATTAACTCTCCGGGAAAATCAGGAACTGCTCTCCTTGAATAGCTTGACTTCGAAATGAGACTTTTTCCTAATTTTTAACAGAATACCTCTAGCCATCCTTTCTTAATAATATTTCTGTTACGGGAACTAAATCCCATGCAACTTAATTCTGATGCTACATACCTAAAATGTAGGTAAACACAGACACACACACACACAAACATACACACATACATTAGACATATATATATATATTAAATTGCTGAAATTTATCTTCTGTTACTGTTACATATCACATACATATGGAAACATTAAATGGAAACATTAAATGTCACAACATATGTTAAAGTACCTTGTGAAAGATAAACCACTAGGTAGTATTCACTCAGTAAAGATTTTTCAATGGATGCTTAAAAACTTGCTTTATAGGGGATCCCTGGGTGGCGCAGCGATTTAGCGCCTGCCTTTGGCCCAGGGCGCGATCCTGGAGACCCGGGATCGAGTCCCACGTCGGGCTCCTGGTGCATGGAGCCTGCTTCTCCCTCTGCCTATGTCTCTGCCTCTCTCTCTCTCTGTGTGTGTGACTATCATAAATAAATAAAAAATTAAAAAAAAAACTTGCTTTATAATATCTATTCAGAACCAGCTCATACTAGCTGTTTCACAAATACCAGTTGAATGAAAATACATTTATTTCATTCTGGTTTTACCCTCTATTCCCAACACCAGGAGTTTGCTTTAATAAGCTCTTATTTAGACCTGTGTGTGCTTAGCCCTGCTGGGTGCCACACTGTACTGGGCTGTAATGAGGAAAGGCACCCATAGTGCCTACCCACCCTAGGAGGAAGATTACAGTCCAATACGGTCCAGTAGGTGAAGGTATATTTGCAAGCCTGACTCTCTAGTGTGAACTGAAATACGTGAGATTTTGTCACACGAAGGACCCCAAGCCCCCTTTACATGGTAAGGATAAAAATTACCACTGAATGGGTGAAAACAACCAACAGATGCTTATGAATTAGCTACTTGTTCTTCCCTTTCTAGATCTACCAGCAGTTGGTCTCTACCATTAACAATGCTTTAAATGTAACAAACACACCACAGATACTTGTTAGGGAAAGTTTTTCAGATAATATGTTCCCATGCAATACAAATGTATGATAGCTTAAAATTTATAAATTAGTTTATTGTTAATCCACAATCAGTAAATTAGTATTATATTTCTAACTTGATGGCTCCTGTTCCTAATTGGGACAATCTCCTTGAGGCATCCTAGCATATCAGAAAATATTTATTTATTTATTTTTATTTTTTTCAGAAATGTTTTATTTTTATTTATTTATTTATTTATTTTTATGATAGGCACATAGTGAGAGAGAGAGAGAGGCAGAGACATAGGCAGAGGGTGAAGCAGGCTCCATGCACCGGGAGCCCGACGTGGGATCCGATCCCGGGTCTCCAGGATCGCGCCCTGGGCCAAAGGCAGGCGCCAAACCGCTGTGCCACCCGGGGATCCCTTCAGAAATGTTTTAAATGTAGATTCTGGAACAAGCTTTTATTTATTTTATTTTTTTTAAAGATTTATTTATTTATTCATTTGAGAGAGACAGAGAGCACAAGCCAGGGTGGGGGAGGCAGAGGGAGAGAGAGAAATGGACTCCCCGCTGAGCTGGGAGCCCAATGTGGAGCTCAATTCCAGGACCTGGAGATCATGACCTGAGCCGAAGGCAGATGCCCAACCATCTGAGCCACCCAGATGCCCCTGAAGCATACTTTTAAAAGTTGGCATGGCTTATTTACAGTGTTACTACATATCATTTTATTTCTTGGACCCGCCATTGGTTTATTAACGAGTCATGTGCTGAACGCTCAAACCTCATCCTAGGCACTGTTTACTAACTTTCTGGTTATTGATGGATATGGATAGTTATGGTTTTGAGGGCATAAGTAAACACAAAGGTGGTATCTTCACAAAGCATCCGAACTTACAAGTCTAATTGCTGACAATCCAAACATTGTTCTCTTCTTTCCTCTACAGATTTTAAATAACCTCAGCATGGTCATTAAGTCAGGGGAGATGACAGCTGTGGTAGGATCCAGCGGATCTGGGAAGAGCACAGCCCTGCAGCTTATTCAGCGTTTCTATGACCCCAGTGAAGGCATGGTGTGTGTCTTCCAGAAACTTCTCTATACATGGGGATGGGAGAGTGCAAATGGAGATACCCTGGTCAAACACAAAGGCCTAGCACACACTGAAACTGTTCTGTCCCTTGCAGAGTTGACTGAATGATTTTTGACTGAGTTGATTGGACTGATTTCCTGCATGGTGACCATGTTTAATGAATGACCAGCCTGTTCATTCAGTGATGTAACTAAATGTGCAGATACATTCAAAATGGTATTGCTGCCTCTTCAGTGAACTCATATTTCCATTTCCTTCTTTGTGTTATAACAAAATCATTCTTGTCTCTTGAAGTTTTCCAAATGCTAAGTATAGGAAAGGTTGCATGGCCAGAATGAACAGAGTGATTGATTACTGCTTCAAGAATTTAGATTTTAAAGAAATCATGTAATTTCACAACCTGCTTGGTCTCTTTTGTTCCTTGTGTTTATTTGCCTATAAACATAGAAACTAAGAAAATAAATATACAAAATTGCCATTTGTTTATCACATATGTCAAGTACTTTATGAAAATGAGTACTTATTTCCAAAATGACCCCCAAGGTGTATATGCTCATTTTATAAATAAGGAAGCAGAGTCACAAAGATTGAGACTTGCCTCTGAATTGAACCCAGGTTTATTAGATGCCAAAAGCTCTGTTTTTTCTACACTCTTAATGTCATTCTTGTCAACTTCTCCTTGATCCCTTGAGATAGAATCATTTGACCATATATCAAGTGGCTTCAATGCAAAACGTTCTCTGTGATGGATGCACTGTTACACTGACATGACAAACATAATGGAATTCTTCTTTGGGACACACATTTCATCCTCCGGGTATTCTTTATTACATACCAGCATAACTACACTCTGAATATATAAAAATCATGGTTTCCTGATGTAAGATTCTTGCTTTTTTTCTAATCGTAACTTTTGCTTATCCCACTTACAGTTTCAATTATTTTTGAACAGCAAAGTGCTATTTGATGAATCTGGCCAGAAAGTAAGAGTTACTGTAAAGCAGTGCATACAAGATAGGGATCATTTCTTATTTTCTCTGTAGCTTTTGAAGTCCATTTTAGGTCACAAGTCAAAAGATAATAAGAATATTCAAAGCATGGTGAATAACTGACTTGACTCTATTGAAGAATTAATTTCTTTTCCATTCCTGGGCCAATCATTTAAATTAAGTGACCTTTACATTATTTGTATTTTTTCAATGAATTATTTTATCACTATACTTGATTTCAACTATATATCGTCATTCCTATATAAAAACCTCTTTATAGGAGGAATTATTTCTGCTATAATCTTGTGGGTCTCTGTTATTTCTCCCCATAGTCAAGTACAACCTAATATTTTGATTCAGAACCCTGAAGGACTCCAAGAGATGTGATGTCATGCTTATGTTCTCTAGGTAACTTTGGATGGCCATGACATTCGCTCTCTTAATATTCAGTGGCTTAGAGCTCAGATTGGGATAGTGGAGCAAGAGCCTGTTTTGTTCTCCACCACCATTGCAGAGAACATTCGCTATGGCAGAGAAGATGCAACGATGGAAGATATAGTTCGAGCTGCCAAGGCAGCCAACGCCTACAACTTCATCATGGACCTGCCACAGGTACCCCTAGCCTCTCATCCCGGGGGGTGGGTACCCAGAAGTTGTAAAAGGAAAAAAGAAAAAGTTACACAATACTATGCATTTCTTTTTCATTTGAATCCTAAATCATTAAATTCTTAATGCCATGTCAGGTTTCATTCCTGGAAAAGTACCATGAGTCTTCCTCTTTGCCTAAAAACATATTGTTGTTGATACTTTAAAAATCTACCAAACAGGAGAACTTTCTTTTAAAATCTCCCTTTGACATAGACACAATCTTCTTACTCCATCTGTTAAGCATTTGTCTAAGCAGTTGATAAATTTGTTATGTGGCAGTGACTTACACAATGCTCATTTGATGCCTACCAATGTCATTTTTTAAAATTTTTCTTGTGCTTAGGCAGCTAATACTATGCTTAGACAGCTAATACCTCAGTACTCTATCTAACATATTCAAAAATTCCTCATTTATCTTCATTTTAAACAACAGTGACAACAAAAACCAACTCCATATTATTATACATATTTTATGGCCATTGGTCTGCCAGGTCAAAAAAGAGCTGTTATTACCACTTAGCATATCTATAGTGCTTACTACCTACCTACCAGACACTGTTCTAAGCACTTCACATCTCATTTAACCCTTACAACCACCCTGTTGGCAGCTACTATTATTATTTCCATCTATAAAGAGAGAACTAAGGTTCTAAGAGGTCAAATAATTTGCTCAAGGCAGAAGAGTCAAGGTTCACACCCAGGTGGTCTGGCTCCAGAGTCATTTCCTATTCAGCCTTCTAGATTACCTGTGTGAGTAGGATCACTGTTGTGAGCACAATATAGTCCAATGATAAAGAGTCTAAAGCTTTGAAATCAGACTGCCTCCACACAAATCCCAGTTTCTCCATTTGCAAGCTCTAGAAACTAGGGCAAGTCACTTTAGTCCTTTATATCCCAGCATTTCCTAGTCATTGATTTAGGAGAACAGCAGCACCTACCTCATGGGGCATCTGTGAGGACTAATGAGGTAGTATGTGTAAAGAGCTCAACTTCCTACTTTATACATGGTAAATGCTCAACTCATGTTGGCTAATAATAAACAAGACAAGAGCTTGACACCATTGTGAGATTCCAATATAATGCTAGACATGAAAGATGCTCAGTAACTATTTGCTGTCAATGGTAATGATTGTTCAGCTAGTTTGATCTTTCATTTGCAAAATAGAGACAGCTTAAGTGTTGTGTTTTTCTGTGTTGCTTACCTAGAGAAAAGAGGGAAGATTTGATAGGTGCCTTAACCCTTTAAAATGGGTTTTCAGGGCCCTGATAAACTTTTAGTTTGGTGGAAACTTTTTTTATTTTAAAGTAGGCTCCACACCCAGTGTGGTGCCCATCACAGACCTTGAATTCAGGACACTGAGATTAAGATCTGAGCGATCAAGAGTCGGATGCTCAACCAACTGAACCACTCAGGTGCCTCTACCTTGGTGTAAACATTTATTTGAAGTTGAGCTGGGGAGAGACATACAGCCCAGTGAATCTGGGAATGAAAGAATAAATCAGTTTCTTTTTTTTTTTTAAGATTTTATTTATTTGGCAGAGAGAGAGAGAACGCATAAGGTGGGGGAGCAGCAGAGGGGAGGGACAAGCAGATCCTCTGCTAAGCAGGGAGCTTGACATGGGGTTCCATCTTAGGACCCTGAGATCATGACCTGAGCTGAAGGCAAACGCTTAACAGACTGAGCCACCAGGTGCCCCAAGAATAAAGTGATTATCTTACACACAAATATTGATCAGACAATAACATGTTTCAGGAAAGGGTATTTCTTTCAGTGAAAGTTGGGCCTGTAAAAATTCATGCTTGAGAAGGAAACTAGAAAGGATCTTGTAATGATTACTGCCAGGAGCCACCAAGTTGTTCCTCTTCATTACCGGTGTCACCTTCTTCCTAGCAATTTGACACTCTTGTTGGAGAAGGAGGAGGCCAGATGAGTGGTGGCCAGAAACAAAGAGTAGCCATTGCCAGAGCCCTTGTCCGAAACCCCAAGATCCTGCTTTTGGACATGGCCACCTCAGCACTGGACAATGAGAGTGAAGCCATGGTACAAGAGGCGCTGAATAAGGTTTGTTGAAAAGCTGAGTTCGTTTTACAAGACCATGTGGAGATGTGTTGTAGGAAAGGCAGCTCACTGAGAGAGAAGGGTGAGGGAAAAGGGAGGGATGGAGAGGGAGGGAGAGAGAAGGACTGTGTGGGTCAGCATATCCAATGTGACTGTTTAGAAAATCCTGACTGACTAGAATGTTCTTCACAGTCGAATAGAAGTCAGTAAGGTTTGTTTCCAAAAGCTACAAATGCAAAATTTTTAATCTTATTAAATCTTGTTAAACTTATAATATGTGATTTCAAAAATTCCCATTTTGTTTTCAGCTATTGATTGATAGCTAGCAACTGGACCAATGTACAGGGTGTTTGTGGCCTTGATAAAGTGTGCTGGTCTTTGCTAATGTCTGCAGAGCGCATTTGAGGGTTTTTCCAAGGACCAAGGCTCTGACTCACTTATGGATTCTGAGACCATCCAAAGGTCAACGTCAGCTCTGTCTTACTGTTTGGCTAAGGGTGCACTGTACATTCTTGCAGATTCAGCAGGGACATACGATCATTTCGGTTGCTCATCGCCTGTCCACAGTCAGAACTGCAGATGTCATTATTGGTTTTGAACACGGCACAGCAGTGGAAAGAGGCAGCCATGAGGAACTGTTGGAAAGGAAAGGGGTTTACTTCACTCTGGTGACTTTGCAGAGTCAAGGCGAGCCGACTGCTAATGCAGAAGGCATAAGGGGCAAGTGTCTTTCCCTTTACATTTGTACACTCTATAAAGCATTATGTTTGTTAACTCTAATAGTTTCATGGATTTCTATGCATTTTAATATACATTGTCTTATTTGTTCTCCCAAAAGTCCTTGAAGGCATCATATAGAAAGAACAGAAGCTCATGAGGTTCCATTACTTGATCAAGTCAAAGAACTAAAACCCAGGTTTTGTGTGGAAGACAATTTTAATTTCACCTCCCTAATTCCCTGCCTCCTACTTTGCAAATAGGAGAGCCTTCCTAGAGTGTCTTGCACACAGTGGGACCTGTGTTCTTACTGACCGAGTAAATTAATCAATGACTAAAAACAGTGATGCTTATTTTCATTAAAGCAGAGATACTTCAGTCCCTAGTGCTTCCTTTCTTTTTTTTAAGTCTGAATTTTCAGATTTAGTAACTTATCCCAACCTACATTAATCAACTACTCCAAGCTTTCTCTACCATATCATATCTCGATTTCTAAACTCCACTGGGTAAAACTACTGCATATATTTAATACATGTGATTTATTCTGAAAAGTTTTTTTTTATTTGGTGAATCTACCATAGAAATGGTCTCCAGTGGGCTTCCCTTGAGTTTTTTATGATTCATGCTATCAGATATCTTTTTTTTTTTTATGATAGTCACACAGAGAGAGAGAGACGCAGAGACATAGGCAGAGGGAGAAGCAGGCTCCATGCACCGGGAGCCCGACGTGGGATTCGATCCCGGGTCTCCAGGATCGCGCCCTGGGCCAAAGGCAGGCGCCAAACCGCTGCGCCACCCAGGGATCCCCATGCTATCAGATATCTATTTGTTGGAGATAACACCTAGGGTATCACACAGTTCAAGAGAGTCAATCCTACTGAGTATTTTTAAGTTTGTTTGTTTGTTTAAGTAATCTCTCTCCTCAGTGTAGGACTGGAACTCATGACCCTGAGACCAAGAGTTGTGTGTTCTTTGGAATGAGCCAGCCAGGCACTTCCTGCTGAGTATTTTGAAATTTTTTTGTTAGAAGGTGTTGGATAGGTGCTAAGTTTTACTTGTCACAATGAAGTTAATAAAATGTTTTAGCACCAGATATAGTAATGATAGCCCAGGCAAGCACAGTAAGTAGTTTTACTTTGACATGGTTCTCCTTATTGTATACACTAAGGAATTGTTGATGTCGTATTAAATAGGAGAAGAAGAAACTGATGGGGTCTCACTTGACAACGAACAGACCTTTTGCAGAGGGAGCTACCAGTCTAGTTTAAGGTAAGCTGAAGCCATGGGACAGATTTTAAGGTTTTTAAATATTCTTAGGAGCCCTGTGCACCTATGATCCTCAGACAATATCTCAGTCAGCGGAGCCTTGAGCGTAGTCATTTCATAATGAACATGCAAATGAGTCCTTGGTTGCTAAGTTGACATTTCTGTCTCCAATTCATGGGGATTTTTTGGTTTAACTTTGACTTCTTATCTTACTGTGGGTAGGGTCATGATAGAGGTGCTTTACAATCAAAATGTTGTCCATTGAACTGAGAAAGGGTATTTAAAAAAATCTGTTTGGTCTTGTCCACTACATCTAACCATGTATAAAACACTGTTGTACATGGAGGTCAAGTTCATGACTTTAAGTACATTCTTTCACCTACTGAGCTACAACTGAATTACAAATATTCCCGCTTCCAGAGTGACCCAACGGAATTCAAATCATTTCTTAACTAGATAAAATTAAAAATGTATTTTTTTAGCATTTGAAAAGAATTTCCTTAAACCCCAGCTATTTATTTATTTTTAATAAATAATGAATGAACGAATATTGGATGAATATAGGGGTATTGATTTTCAAACATATTTTTAGAATATGCTATTAGCAAGACTGTAAGTTTTAGTCTTTTGTCTTGACTTAAAAGTTTCAGTAAAGTAGTTCTTTTAATGTTAAAAGTCGCATATTAAGAAGAATTCTGCCCAAAATCTTTGTTTCTATTCATGAAAGATTTTTTCCCCCTAAGTTAGGAGGCTGTTCGTAAACAATGGGTGACAGCAGATTTCCTTACTGTTGCCTTTACCATTTCTAGGATATTTAATTCAAGGCTGTACTCTGAGCAAAGGCTCAGTTATAAGACTTGCTTTTTCAAGGGAATATATTGCTTATTGAAAACTGGTTTAAAGGGGCCTAAAATAAAACATGTAGGTAACAGCTCCAAGTAATTCAAACACAGATTTATTTTTAATATTCAAAGAATCACATATGGAAAGAGGAAATGATGTATTTCGTGGTCCTGTCAACAAGAGAATAAATATTTTCTTAACTTTTCAATTGAACAAAATTCTACTTGTTCTAAGTAGTTTGCTTCCAGTTTATTGTTAGGACCAAATAACCATTTTTAATATAAACATTTCCTATTTGGCTATTAGTTCTCAAAAATTCTACATTTTGGTGAGTAGGTTGAGAAATCCAGACATACAATCTACACCCAGAAAGTAGCTATTAACCTCCTGCAGAGAAAGATTTTTAAGTTTGAGTAAGAAAGTCTGTTAAAAATATCTCATTGTGTATGCTGACAGATTTTTTTTGCTAAAAGATGACTACATGAAATGTTAATTTGTATCTTATTTCCTTGGCTTGGTCTTTCTGACAGCTCAGTTTTTCTTCAGTAATATATTTTAGATTTGAGAACAATTTAATGGATAAGAGTAACTAATTTCCTGAATAATAATGTTTAGAAAGAGAGACAAAGTGGGAGAGATATTTAGCCCCCAGATTAGCTGTTTTTATTTGTGGCAATAAGTGGTAGGCAGCTTCTGAGAAAGGGACTGGCCAACTTTTTCAATTTCTAAAAAGGCCTGCAATAGAACTTTAACCCTGGTGTTTAGGGTGGACCAGAGGGAGCCGGCAGGTAGGCCCATGATTTTGGTGGGACAGCCTATGCTAGACAGGTGGAATGGACTGCGAAATAGGGAACGAGAGAGAGACTTAAGAAATATAAGATTAAGCTAGTAGAAATCAGAAGGAACAAGGATATATGTTTTGCCATGCTCAAAACTGGGAGGATGTCAACCATATTTCCTTTTCTGCATACTCTACCATGGTTTCCAGTGCTCTGAGCTTCTCTGTAGGCCCATGACCTTGCATCTCAGCCCTACCATGCACTCCACTCTGTCCAGTTGACACATGCCTGTTCCTCATGCATTTTGAAGAAGACTGCTTGACCAGTTAAGTAACCCAAAGAAGTGACTCTATTACTGAAGAGTCTCAGACCAGGTAGGAGGGAGTTGGGGTGTACCAGAGAGCAGTTTGGTGAGGAGTGGTTTCAGGTCTGACCATAATGAGATTTGGCAAGAGTGTGAATGTGCAAGGTCAGGAAGAGGTTAGACTTGAGATACATGCCCCTGTTGAACCTGGGTGACTAAGAGGGTGGCAGTGCCACTAACAGGACCTGGGAACAGAGTGATGAAGGTGGTGTGTTAGTGCCTTCTCAAGAAGGCCAGATGAGCGTGTATAATAGGCACTGGATACAAATGAGGGAGAGAGATCATGGATGGGTCTCTCTTTCCACTTTCTTACTTTAGATTAGGTGCTTTGATAATGTACACACCTTCCTCTCAAGTCTTCAGCATTGCACCTATCCCTTAAGACTCCATATGCAGGGCAGCCCTGGTGGCACAGCGGTTTGGCGTCGCCTGCAGCCCAGGGTGTAATCCTGGAGATCGAGTCCCATGTCAGGCTCCATGCAGGGAGCCTGCTTCTCCCTCTGCCTGTGTCTCTGCCTCTCTCTCTGTGTGTGTGTGTGTGTCTCTCATGAATAAATAAATAACATCTTAAAAAAAAAAAGAGAGAGAGATTCCACCTACAGATGACCGAAAACTTAACCGGCTTTCACTTTTAAAGGGAGAGAATCAGCTTACCTAACCAATTGTCCAAGGATGGCTTGGCTTCAGGCAAGGCTGGAGCTTCAACCAGGTGTCTAACATACATGCAGTTTCTCTTCCTTTCTCAGCTCTGCTTTTCCCCCCTTCATTTTGCTTCATTTTTCAGGCTTCTTTCCTTAAAGATCTTGACATTATTCATTAAGGGTCTTGACATAATAATGCTGCCTCCTTTGATGTTTAACCTAGAGGCGAGTAGGAGTCTCCTTCTCAGAAATCTCAGGAAAGAAACCAAAACCACCTGAACCAATCTCTTCTTCTATCTGCGCTGTACTAAGTATATGAACTAAGGAACCATGTTCTCTCCTATCTCCATGCTTCTATCTATACTGTTCTCTCCATCAGAAATGCTTTTCTTGCAAAAACCCAAGTCCTACTGTAGCCACCTCTTCCAAGACACCTTTCATGGAAACACCTGCCATATATTTATTTTTCCTTTAAATTTTCATACTTTCTATTCAGACCTGCTTTACAGCAATTACTGCATTCTTTCCTCCATCAGAGTGGGGTACATGTTTTACTCTTCTGTGAGATTTGAAACTCCTTGAGGGAGGAGGCTGATTGACCAGTCTCTGTAATCCCACAGCACCAGGCATTGGTCTGCATGTCGTACATGCCCAACAAGCCTCTGTTAAATGAATGAATGAATGAACACATCACATAAATTTTATTTCAATAAGGTATTTGTTAATTATGTAAATTTTAAGGGCAGTACATAGCCTAAAGAAAATCTCACCAGGGACCCTATTTTCTTCCTACTAGCTTATTTATATCCAGGTGACCTTACACTACAGTAAACATCAGGTATAACTAGAGAGAGAAACAGGTATCAAGATTACAACCTATAACCAAAAGGGCGGTAAAGGCAGTGGGCCATTGCTATGATAGCAATTAATATACCATATGGATATGGAATGGATTTGAATCTTGGACTTTTTTTTTTTTTTTTTTGTAGACTGGTAGGACAGCTTTCTTCTCCTTCTCTCCCTCCCTCCTTGAGCACTTCTGAATCAGAGGGCTTGCTTGGGGCCCAGAGTATCCAATTTAATTAGCAATGCCACAAGAATAGTTCTGTGGAACCTAACCAGGAAGTTCCCTTACCTGGTTACTATGTGACCTATCAACCATTTCTGTTTATTGGACACTTGTGACGTTAGCTGAAACACCAGTTAAGTCCTGTTCCAACCTGCCCATAATCTACAGACTCTTTCATTCTTTCTGTTTATTTGCAGAGCTTCACTCCGACAACGCTCCAAGTCTCAGCTTTCTTACCTGGCACATGAACCTCCACTAGCTGTTGTAGATCATAAGTCTACTTATGAAGAAGACAGAAAGGTCAGGCACCAGTCGCTCTTGGGGATTGGAGACAGTCTTTCCTGGGGACTACTGTATGACCTTTAAACCTGAGAAAATGAGTCTGCAAGGCATCCAGTAATGTTAATTAAGTCAGATTAAATGGGAGACCTGATGAAAACTCTAAATTCTACAAAATATGTTAAAAGAAATGCAGATTAGTTAATAACGTTAAGAACATCTAGTAACTGAAACTGGACTATAATGGTTAATCAGTAGTTTTTAGGTGAACCATTGAACAGACACAGGCAAATAATATGTACTTAGGTTATTTGATCATGTGTGTATAATTTTAAAAGCTTTTAAGAAAACTATTTCTTGAAAACAATTTCTCTCAAATTTTTAAATCTCCTCCTTAAATTATAATAACCTTGGCAAGTGTTTATTCAACAGAGGTACCTGAAAAAGTTAGCTCTTATGCAAGTTATCACAATTTTTGAAAGGATAGAAACTAATTAGGTTTTATGGACAGTTGTTTACTTCACATAGTTTTACCATAATTTATTAAAGATACATCTAAAGTAACACTATTCATGTTAATATAATTCAAAAACCACAGAAACGAAAGTGATAGGAGAGGAATCAACAGATACAGCAATATTTCTTCTTCCTAAGGATGCAGGTCCTCAAAGCTGTTGTGGACACCCTACTTCCCCTAAGATGCCCCTCCTCAAAGCCTTTCTTAAAGTCTGCACTTCATTCTTCAACCCAAGAGTGTCACTTTTAGTCTCCCACTACTCTTCATTTGAACCTTTTCATGACAGCTTTCTTATTGAGTCTCATTTGGGGTCGTGTTGTCTTATTCTCTTACTAAATAATAAGCTTCTTAAAGTTAGTGACTATATATTATTTATGTTTGTATCACCTCGGGCACTTAAGTAAGTGCCCTATATCTATTAGGATATTGGGAGATTTAAAACGAGGATGAAAAATTGAATTTCCACAATTAGATAAAGCCCAAATCACAAGATTTATCAAAGCAACTCAGTCAGAGGATATCTCAATTATGAGCACATCCATTAGGCATGATGACATTTTAAACTGTCCTTAAAATTTTTTTAATGAGAATCCTTTTGGAAGTAATTATAAACCTTTGTTCACAGTGACAAATGTGGAATAAAGTACATCCTCCTTATGATCTTGTGACTATGACAGAAGGATTATTAAGGCTCTCTCTTGGTTCTAGTACATTAGGAATGAATAAATGTCTCTATATTCAATAGAGTTGGTTTAAATAAATTTCACAGAGAAACACTTTTTCTCAGGAGCAGCAGGATGAATCACAGAGAGAGGAAACATATTTAGCAAGCATGATTGCTTACTGCATCTTGCCATTAAGGATTCAACTCTTCTTCTAGACCTAGAGATAGATACTTAATTTACGTACACGGTGCTGCCACTAATAATGACAAGACGCCTCCTATAAGGAGTCTGGTAAAGCTCCAAGGGACAAAGAACCACATTGAAATTTCAAATGTAACAGTGCCAATCATATTTGACTTTTGCCTTTTTTATGTTTTTTTCTAGTTTCTGTAACTATTTGGCAACAAAAGCAAGAGAGAAAGAAAGAAAAGAAAGAAAGAAAAAGAAAGAAAGAAAGAAAGAAAGAAGAAAAAGAAAGAAAGAGAGGAAGGAAGGAAGGAAGGAAGGAAGGAAGGAAGGAAGGAAGGAAGGAAGGAAAAGAAAATCTGATTCTGCTGTTGCTGTTGAAACTGGCAGGTAGCCCAGCATAGCAGCAGAGATCAGATTCCTGGAGATCTGGAAATCAGATTCCCACAGGGTTCTCATGATGCTGAGGAAACTCTGAAGGGAACCATTTAAGATGAAAACTAAATCAAACATAAAGAGTAGTTTTAGAGAAATAAAAATGCTTCACATGATAGTCTACTTATCTAAAGTCTTGTAAATTAGAATGGAGTAATTAAACCTGATTGAATGTAAACCAGTGTAATGTTTAAAAGATACCATTTTATATTCTCTCTCCAGTTAAGAGAGAAAAAGGAAGAGAGGGAAAAAATAACAGGGAAGCCAGTGTGATCTTGCTCAAGCTCCAAGAAAATAAGATCTTATGCTTATATTAATGCTGCTCATTTGTATAGTAACAATATGAGAGTTTTAAATTTTTATTTATTTTTATAAAGATTTTATTTGACAGAGGGAGAGAGTGTGAGCAAGCACAAGCAGGGGGGAGCAGAGGGAGAGGGAGAAGTAGGCTCCCTGTTGAGCAGGGAGCCTGACATGGGGCTCGATCCCAGGGCCCCAGGATCATGACCTGAGCCAAAGGCAGCTTGTTAACTGACTGAGCAACACAGGTGCTCTGATATTAGAGTTTTTAAGATTTAAATTAATAACTTTTTTATTTAAAAAATTTTTTTAAGATTTTATTTATTTATTTGAGGAGGGGGAAGGGGCAGAGGGAGGAGAGAGAATCCTCAAGCAGACTCCATGCTGAGCACAGAGCCCAATCGGGCTTTATCCTAGGACCCTGAGATCATGACCTGAGCCAAAATCAAGAGTTGAATGCTCAAATGACTGACCACCCACGTGCTCCAACTCATTTTCTAAAAACAAAAAACAAACAAACAAACAAACAACAAAAAAAAAAACAGTGGAATTAGGGTCTATACCATTTAATTTATGAAATTTCTAATCCCAAGTAATATTTTAAAGCACTTTAAATATATGGGATATTCTAATCCCAAGTAGATTTTAAAGCATTTTAAAGTTAACTGAATTCCACAAGCCTAAACACTGGCAAAATCCTTTCTTTTTCTCATTCTATGGAGGAGTTCTAACCTCAGTCTGTTATTTGGGAAGTGTTCTTCTACTGCAATGCAAAAAGTTTACTTATGTAAAGGAATTATCTCCACCTTGTGGTCTCTCAGAGTTTTGACTGAGCATATAGAAGAGATGGTTGCATGAGAAGGTTGTCCTTCCATATGCTAAGTGGGGTTACTGGAATCCCAGGTCTCCTGGTTATCTGGGAACAGAACTAAGACTGCGGTTTCTTTCTTTCCACTCCCAGGCTGTGCTGTGGGCTTCCAGAAGTGGAGTCAAATCTTAGTTATAATGCTGATAAAATTCAGTGGAAGATGAGGGGAAACTTGTCAGTCTCTGGTATCAAGACCTCTCTCGGGATCCCTGGGTGGCGCAGTGGTTTGGCCCCTGCCTTTGGCCCAGGGCGCGATCCTGGAGACCCGGGATCGAATCCCACGTCGGGCTCCCGGTGCATGGAGCCTGCTTATCCCTCTGCCTGTGTCTCTGCCTCTCTCTCTCTCTCTCTCTCTCTCTCTCTCTCTCTCTGTGTGACTATCATAAATTTAAAAAAAAATAAAAAAAAGAGACCTCTCTCTCAGGAAAACTAACAAAGTAGAATCTATAGGAATTCAAGTCAAGGTCAAAGGTTTGAAACCCATCATTTCATCACAGCTGACTTAGAAGATAGGGTTTGAGCATTGCTTACGAGGACAGAAACAGGATCCTTACAAATGACTTTCAGTATATGACCATTTGGAGAACATCTGCCCCTTTGTCATAGTTACCATTTATTATCATCAAATCTTAAAGTCATTATCCAGGCAGGAGACGCTTATGGATTAGCACGCAGAAACCAGTGCAACAAAGTATAGAAAGCAGGACATAAGATTTAAGTAGGAAGTTCTATGAAGGAAACTGAGGAAAGCCCAGTGTCTACCACTGAACCACATTCATAGTAGAGAGCTCAGTATTTTTTTAAAATAAATGTTTTGTTGCATGTATGCACCATGGGCATAAAAATTTCACTTATTCTTTCATCCAATAAATATTGATTGTACATCTATTGTGTGCCAGGTATTGTGTTATGTATGCAAAGATGAACAAGAACCACCGTCCCCTCCCTGCACTAGGGTTCCTAGCAGGATACTTCCTTACTTGTGCACATGTGCAAGGTGCCACTTGACATTGCTACAATAAAGGCAGGAATTCTACAGTAAGGGAACACATCAACTTTTATAATTTCTCCTCTCTCTGTGAGTTACTGGTTTGCCACAAATACAGGGAAGATGAATAAATCATCTTTAGCCTTTTTTAGATGACTAAATTTGTCTTCAGCTTTGCAAAAATCAAAGGAAAAAATCTTCTATACATTATGGCTTTATAGTTTGTTTTCTTCTTCTACTTCTTTTTTAAAAAAATTCTCCTACAATTTTTTTAAACTATATCATATAAGTCAATCAGAAGTCAATTACTCAGGGACAGATTTTCTAGTTTTTGCATCATTCAGGCTTGATGGTGCACCTTTTTGGGGGTCAGGGGACAGTTTCCCTTAAAGTCAAACATCTAGTGAAAGGGGACAAGAGAAAATTATTCATATCAATTACATTTGCCCCTTGTTAGTTTATCTTGGAATGATAATTACTAGGGAAAAAATCACTTCATATTATTTTTAAATGTCTCAGGTATTGTTATTTAGGGCTAGGGAAACCTTTAAGAATCAGAAGGCCAGGGAAATTTCTGTCATGTCAAGGTTGTGAGTGGGCTGTTTCATGGAGCAGTGGTTCTGGGAAATGTTGGAGTTTACTGTGTCTGGATGGTACAGCACAGCTGACATTTTCCAAATTCATAACCATGGATTCATGATTATGAATTTCAGCTCCAGAAAGAGTCTTGGAGATTACATACTCTTGGGAATCTCACAGGCTGGGCTTTATTACTAGAATTACCTGAGGAGGAGGGGTGCCTGACAGGCTCTATCGGGTAAGCATCTGCCTTCGGCTCCGGTCATGAACTCCGGGTCCTGGGATCGAGCCCCATGTAATTTTATAACTCTTGGCCAGTGTAGTAACCAGAGTATATCATTTGCACTGGTTCCCAGCCCAACCCCCATATTTAAAGAGGGCCAGATGATACCAGCAAATGAAGGGGATGTGTTACAGGAGAGGAATTCTGATATGGAGGAGCTTGAGTCTTTTATAATTGGCAGTAAACACATCTGCTCTTTTCTTGGGATGAAGATCTCATCTCTCTCCTCCAGGGCTATTTGCTATGCAAACATCCTTGAAAAAATAGTCTGAATAAATGTAGTCGATGCCACTGCATAAGATGTACAGAAACACAAGAGACCCACAGGGAGTTGTCTTCCCCAACTTAGTCCAACTATCTCATTTGGAGGATGAGGTAACTGAGCCCCAGAGAGCTAAATTGCTTGGCAATGTATTCCACAGGTGGCTGCATTGGGCTCATCCAAGAACCCTGTTCTTTCTATGCTTGTTCTACTCATGCTTGCCTAGGCACCCCACTTCCTTCCTGGAATTGATTTCCTAGAGTTAGTATGTTGTCAGAGGCGAAATTATTGAACAGAAGGATTTGCTGCATGAATGTATAGTGACAAGTGCAAATGTTGAGGGCAGGCCAAGAGAGAATTTGAAATGGAGGCAATAAGAAATCCCACACCAGCCAAGCTGCCTTCCTCCACCCTATTTGGCTTGCAATGATAATGACATAACATGACACAAGACTTTCTTTAAACTGAATTAGTAATGTGGTCTTTGACTTTGGAAGCAAAGAGAAATTATTTGAATTTTCTTGCTGTTTTCTGTTCCTGACATTCTACTACCTAAAGGTTAAATTACTATGCATTCATGCAAGAGAGCACTAATTAAATAGATTTGTAGTTAATTTGTTATAATACTTTTAGTATATTTTAATAGAAAAAGTAAAAAAATGCAAAAATCTATATAAGCCACCTAAAATCCTTTCTTAAGTGAAGTCAGTAATAAATTTAACAAACGAACAATCAGATCAAGCACTGAATAAAATCTGTAGTGAGGAAAAGTGATAGTGAACATGATAAGATTCCGAGTAAAATATTTGCCTTCAAGAGGAAAATAATTTGCTACTTCAGACACTTCAATGACAACTAAAGAGATCAAAATAGGGAAATATCAAAATAGTTTTCACTTCTTGCAAAGAATATGTAGAGCTTAGAAGCCCCAAATGGATTACCATTTACTTCTGGGCACTAATTAAGGAAAATTTTATAGAAAGCATGTAAATGATAACTGTTGACACCATTTAATACATTTTGATGATTACTGTGCCTTGTTTCAGATACACTGGCCTGCCTCAGAGCTTCAGTCAATTACTAGACTATAGGACTTAGCCATTTATGAAGGATATACCTTGAAAGTGTTACAAGTCCTCAAATATGTGAATACTACCATAGCACAAAAAACCTTTTTAAATTGGAGGGGTTACTTTTTTCAGAGATCCAACATATTTATTACTCCTTCAGAGTTAACGTATATCTAATTGTGAAATGAAAACCAAATGCTCACCTTTAGACGAGTGCTCATCTAGTGTGTCCCTTCCAAGTCACAGCATGGTCTCAAACAATTCAAATCCATTTCTTACAAAACAATTATCACTACATCTCAGAGACCTTTGAGGTCACTCATAACCAGTCAAACCATGACTTTTGAATCTGTGAATACCAAAGAATCTGCTGTATCATTAAAGAACATGTGCAAAAATGTCTGAGTATACCCCAGGATGACTAGTATAACCCTTCTCCCCTCAAGGACAAGGACATTCCTGTGGAAGAAGAAATTGAACCTGCCCCCGTTAGGAGGATTCTGAAATTCAATGCTCCAGAGTGGCCCTACATGCTGTTTGGGGCCGTGGGTGCTGCTGTCAATGGGTCGGTCACACCGCTTTATGCCTTTTTATTCAGCCAGATTCTTGGGGTAAGCAAACAACTGGATTAGCTTTATTCTTCTCATATTTTTTTTGTTTTTCTATCAGTGGATATTGTCATTTTTTATAGGTTGGCTCTGTATTTTAATGGATTTAGCTTTCTTTTCCTCATCTTTAAAGGATTCAAAGTGCCCAGAATCTCCATTACACAGAAGGTAAGAAAATGAAGCTGAGTGATCTCAGTTGGGCTGGCAGGGCACGTCTCTAGTCATCGTGTCTGTAAAAAGCTGTACTGTGGCTGCAAATTTAGTGTAAGGAGAGGGCAATTTCCATATATGCAAACAAAATCATAATGCAAAGCAGGTTTGTTGAATAATACAAAAGCAATTTAGGACGTTTTGATCTTTTAAAAAATTTTTATTTAAATTCAATTAATTAACATATAACACATTATTAGTTTCAGAGGTAGAGGTCAGTAATTCACCAGTCTTATGTAACACCCAGTGTTCATTATATCACGTGTCCTTCTTAATGCCCATCACCCAGTTACTCCATCCCTCCACCTCCCTCCCCTCTAGCAACCCTCAGTTTGTTTCCTATGATTAAGAGTCTCTTATGGTTTATCTCCCTTTCTGATTTCGTCTTGTTTTATTTTTCCTCTCTTCCCCTATGATCCTCTTGGGCCATTTTGATGTTGCTGAAACAGCTGAGGTGCGAAGTTTGGCTTATATAAGCAGGTGCAAGTGCACGTTGTAGAATTGTCTGCTCTGCTGATTGCACCATTGAAACAGCAAAGTGGGGGAGGAAACAGGAAAAGGAAGAGAGAAGTAAAATAAGACATGGATAAAGGATAATAATAGCTTATTTCAATTTTTCACTTCCTAGGAGTTTTGATATTCTTCATCTGGCTTCACAGCTACAATAAAAAATAATAACTACAAGCATTAATTGACACTACCTAAGCACTTTATTTATAATAGTTCACTAAATTTTCCTAGTAACCACCCGAGGTAGGTATTCTTATTGTTCCCATTTTACAAAAAAGCGAACCAAGTTATACAGAACTTAGGTAGCAAATGATGGATCTGGGATTCAAATCCAGTGTGACTGGAGAGCCAGTTTCTAATAAGACTCTCATTGCAAAATTCGTTATCAAAATTCTGCCAAGTTCTTTAGTTGAAATTTACCTACACACACAAATCCCATGAGATCAACAGGGAGGCAAATCTAGAATCTAGATAACTTTATTAATTTGTTCATGGTGAAACAGGCATCAGGCAGTAGGGCCAGCGCTAGAACCCAGCTTTTCCCAAGCCTAGGCTAAAGGATTTGCCAGCACACCACACTGTCAGGGCTTACTAAGAGTCCTGAGTTTTAGTTTCCCCTCTACTTCTCTTTCTTTTGTGGCCTCTCTGGAAGAGGTCCTGACCAGGGAAATGTCCCCACAGGCATGATTCATACAAAAAGACTGTTACAGTCTACAAACAAAATCAGGTCAAATGTGTAGGGAGGGCCTCAGCCACCGCTTAATTTTCATACTACCCCCTTGTGGTAAGTGAGGAAATCAGGTTAAGTTCAGATTGGAAATTGGAAACAGGGCCCTTCAATTCTGGTAAATTGAATTTCTGGTTGTGTGAAACCTTTTATGATGACAATCTTTTAAATAATTAAAAGTAATAATTAAAGTAATTAAAATACGCTAAATATTTTAGGATGTTTTATTTAAATTCAATCCAAACATTCAATTCAAGAACATTCAAGAAATGTTCTTTTATTCACTCAACAGATATTTGTTGATTACCTCCCATAGACACTGTGCTAGGGACTGGGGATTGCATTCAGTCATGCTGCCTTCTCTAATAGAGTTTTCAGTCTCTGAGAAAGACAGATATTAGACATAATATCTCATAATTCAACAAATATTTGTTAATCAGTTATTATTTGTCAGACATCATTGCTGGGATTGAGGATAGAGTGAGGAATAAGAAAGCCCTCCCTGCTCTCATAAAGCTGACATTCTATTAGGAAAAGGCTCTGGAAATGCATCCCACTGAGCAGTGACAAGACGTAGAAGGCATGGCAGATAGGGTTGAATTTTGTAAAGACCCAACTGTGCCCTAGATCTTTGCTTTTGATAGAAATCTGGGATACCAGTTTTTTTGCTGATCACCACTTTCTTATAAAAACACAGAAAAGAATATACTAACTCAGCTTTACCAAACCCTGTACATGAGCTGCTATGTAAAGAGTGCTGGATTCCCAACCAGGAAATATTTATTTATTTATTTATTTATTTATTTATTTATTTATTTATTTATCCTGAATCTGGCTCTTCTAGATAGTAAGTACTATACGCCCTAGGATCACACCATGCCATTTCTCTGGGCCTTGGGTTCCTCAACTATAAAAGGAAGGATTGACAAAATGGTTTCTAAGATACCTTCCAGCTCTGTTAGTCTATGAAATGGCCAAGTCAGAAAAAAAGTGATGATTCAGTCAAAACCCCTGCTCTCGTAGAGCACCCACCAGTTCTTCATAGTGAGACTAGTCTCTGTGATTGTTCTGGTCACAACCAGGAATCCTAGGAAAAACTGAACTTGAGCAATTAGACTCTTCACTTGAGGGCTGCAGTACCAGAGTAATAGGATCTAGTTGGTGAAGTCCAAAGTCTGCTCATGGTTAATGTTCTCACAGGGTTGTATTGCTAAGCAAATGATGCTAAAAGAAGTACTATTTTCCCTCTCTGATAAAGAAGATCATTTCTGTTAGTCTCTTAGCATAATTATCAAATATTCATCAGTAGATTCATGATACTTTCATCTCACAGGGTATAATCATGAGTCAGATAATAGTCTGTTTGCAGTTGCGCTATTTTCATCCTGACATACCTAAAGGGCATGATACTCACATTTGGTGTATTGAGACCACAGTTTGGAACATAGGCCCAGAAAATGATTGGACACTATTAGGAGCCTGGTTGCTAATCTAGTGAAGCATCAGTACATACATAAAACATAATTTATCTGATTCACTTTCCATGGCTCTATTTCACTTAGAAAGTGTACAAGTGTCCCAAACACAGCAATGTGGACGTAGCATGCTGGGGAAATCATAATCTTTGGAGCCAGCCAGCCCTGGATCTGTAGTAGGTCTCTGTTCTGTATTCTCTGGGTGCATTTGAACAAGTGGCTTTTCCTTGATGAAGTCTTAGTTTCCTCATCTGTAATACAGGGTAAGAAAATCTACCTCACTGGGATGTTTTAAGAAGCCCAATTTAAGGAAGACTTCATTTAAGTTAAAGTAGGTTAAGCAACATATTTGGCATCTGGTAAATAGCAATAGTTTAGTGAATGTTTCTTTTCTCCTTAAACAGACTTACCATTACAAAAATAGCGGCGATGTATCATAGAGGAACCTATGGAGGGGTAGCTTCTGGGGTTGCATTTCAACAAGAATATATAAAGAATAAAATTTTGTGAATAAAAAGGTTATGGATAGACAGATGCACAGTCTTGAACTGGGCAGTTGTGTGGATTTAACATTAGCCAAATACTTTAACACTGAGAAGATGAGTAATGCCAAGAGCCAAAAGAGCCTGCCAAGAAGAAAACCACTGGAATCACAAAAATAGACATTTCCTTGTCTAATGATAACCACTAGCTAAACAAACTGGGAATTGTGTCGTCACAGTTTGGGGCTTGGGGGATTTGTATAGTGATTTTTAAAACCAAACTGAAACAGGTCTTTAAATCCCTAAACTTGTAAACTCTGTTAAGTAAACATATGAGTTATTCTATGGAGGGAAGAATGACTGTAGAATCTTCTGAACCCACTTCCACCTGTATTAAGAAACATGAAGACCCTGGAAACTGTCCTTAAAACAGTAAATCTTATTAATCTAGAACCCCTCCCTCCATTTTGGAATTTGTGATTTTTGAATAGGTTCTTTTGCTTTACAAAAAAGGGTTTGTTAACAGAGTAGTATACATTGTTTGCAAGATGTATGTGGCAGGCACTAAATAAATATTTATTGAATAAATGGTTTCTTTTGAGCATCTGCTTGTTAGCATTGTTCTAGTTACTTAATTTAGAATAATAAATAAGGCTGTCTAATGCATACTTTTTTGGAACTCAGAGTTCCCTCACTTAGCCCAAGTTAAGAAGTTTTGTTGTACCTGAAATCTATTTCATTATAGGGTAATGTCATTAGAATATGCAGCTGTTCTTCCCTTTGTCTTATTGCAACAGCTGAGTCCCCAGTCGGTTACTGAGCATACGTCTGCAAGTTCAGAATATACTTAAAGTATAGTTTACTTCTCATTGTAGACTCAAAAACCGCATTCACAACTTCCATAGTTTTCCTGGGGGGGGAGGGCATGTTTTCAACTTCTTCTGATTTAGAAACAACCTCAGTCTCAGGTGGATGGAAAGTGTTTTTTCTCCTAAAGCAATTCCAGTTAATGCCTTGATAGCTAGTTACTTTTTTAATGATGCTATTATTCATCAATATGAATATATATATTCACATATATAATTAGATAATTCATATTATATATATCCCCGGTGGCTCAGCGGTTTAGCGCCGCCTTCGGCCCAGGGTGTGATCCTGAAGACCCGGGATTGAGTCCCACGTTGGGCTCCCTGCCTGCTTTTCCCTCTGCCTGTGTCTCTGCCTCTCTCTGTCTCTGTGTGTGTTTCTCATGAACAAATAAATAAAATCTTTAAAAAAATAAAATAAATAAAATAAAATAAAGTAAAATAACAGGGTACCTGAGTGGGAAGATCATCTTTATTGCTTCTATTTTTTGAGAAGGACAGAAGTCATGATAATACTCATCTTCGTTCCTTTTTTCCTTCCTTCCTTCCTTCCTTCCTTCCTTCCTTCCTTCCTTCCTTCATCTTTCCTTCCCTTTTTCTTTGCCTTATTACATAAAGGATTGGAGATATTTAATCATATTTCTCATCTGTATCAATAAAAAGCCAACACAATTGCCTACATCAGGTTAAAAAACAAGACGAAAATTCTGCAAATTATTGCTATTGGTTTTCCTTTGCCAACCTTCCTTTCCCGTGGGGAATTAAAGTACACATATTCATGGCTAATTTTGGTTAAATTTCTAGTATGTTTTCTTAACCCAATGCTTAAGAAAATGTTCTTTTAAATATATCTTAAAATTTGAAATTTCTTTTACATATATTCTGTTTTATTGCTATTAAATAATAACAAATAATAACAAAGTAATATCTTTGCTTACAATCTTGCAAAGACTTTTTCGCTTCCTGATAAAGAAGAACAAAGGTCACAGATCAATGGTGTGTGCCTGCTGTTTGTAGCAGTGGGCTGTGTATCCCTTTGCACTCAGTTTCTGCAGGTAAGGAATTTTAGCTTTTAGCAAGTGATTTCACAATTATTTCCTCTCTTTTCGTGTTAAAATATCACTAAAGGCTCCTTTATGTTTCAGGGATATGCTTTTGCTAAATCTGGAGAACTCCTCACAAAAAGGCTGCGTAAATATGGTTTCAGAGCAATGTTAGGGCAAGACATTGGCTGGTTCGATGACCTCAGAAATAGCCCCGGGGCATTAACAACAAGGCTTGCTACGGATGCCTCCCAAGTTCAAGGGGTAAGCTATGGGGGGAAGTCAGGGGTGTTTTTAACGGAGGAAACATTCTTTCCTTTGAGCATTCTGGTAATCACCTGTATGTTTCCCGTGAAATAGGAACTCATGGGATTCAGATGTCCCAGAGCCACATTTCCCACCATTTCCAATGCTGACAAACAGCAGTGTCTCCCAGGCAATGTCCAGAATCGGTGCCATAAGTCCAAATCTGTCAGGGTTTTAGATTTACTGGAAGTCTAGCAAACAGAGCTTTTCTGAGACTCACTCTCAGATCCTTTTCAGGCCCAGACTCAGATTCTACAAGACTTCATAGCACCCCTAGAGGGTGGAAGCAAAGCCTCCTTACACAGGTGCTCAGCTTGCAGGCAGTCTCAGGAAAAGAGAATATCTTCTGGGTTGCCTCTGTAAAAGCCAGTCAGGAAACTGAAGAAAAGAAGTAAATGATTGCCATCTAGAATCCTGAGGCATTCGGAGAGACAAGGCTGTGGTTTCTGAACCGCAGGACCTGTAGCCTTGTTGAGGTGACTCATTCTCGTGTCACCTGAACAATGATGAGGCAATGCTTTTAGAAAACCAGGGGTTTGTATCAAAGTGAAGAGAGTTGACTGTGTTGTCCAGCACCTCTACTCACTTTCTGTGGGAATAAAAGAGAGAGAGGAAGGAAGGAAGGAAGGAAGGAAGGAAGGAAGGAAGGAAGGAAGAAAACAAACCACAATCTGTGAGGTTCTTGGAAGAACTCCCACCCCCACCCCAGACTGAAAAACTGAGTGCCATTTGTCTTGACTCCTAGCCAGTTCAGCCAAAAATATGGACAATGGTATGGGAGACTTTCAGAGGAACATGGGATCCTCTTCCTCAGAGCTTTTTTCTAAGTATACATGTGTTTCTCACAGACCTTGGGTCACACTCTACATGTTGTTTTGCAATCTTTCTGATTTCCCCCCACAACAATCTGACATAAGCATATTTTGGTTATTATATATTCTTCTAGAGTAGGTTTTTGATGGTTGTATAATTCATCATTTTAATGCATCATCATTAAAGAATTCCTTATTTAAATGTTCTTTCTGTTTTTCCCCCTTATAAGCAACTTATATCATTTTACATCAAGCTTGGCACATCCCTGATTATTTTTTTTTCTTGTTCTCAAAATATAATCACTGAATCAGAATATATAATCATTTCGAAGGGTTTTAATGTGTGTTGTCTCACTGCTTGAAGAAAGTTTGTAGCAATTTCCCTTTTACCGTCTGAGTATTCTAGTGTCCAATTTACTTGACTCGAGCTTAGGTTAAATAAATAAGGTATCACCTTATTTCTTCTATTTTTGCGTCCTTCAATCTGCAAGGGCTTTTCAAAGTTATTCACTCTCACTTGAATTCAGAGAGCAGCATCTATTCATCTTATAAGAATTTTTACTTATCCTTAAAAAAAGTTTCTAAGAGTTTCAGTAATATTTTCATTAACCTTTTTAAAAAAAATAACATTGCTTACTCAGGTCAAATTTATTTTAATAGTAAAGTAGGGTAGAAATCTGGCTTTTTTTTCCTCCAAGCTGGATAGAAAATATTCCCCCACCAAACTTTAATGTAGATTTCATTTTCCAGCTATTTGAAATTCTCCTGCCCATTGTGAATACCAATTTACTACAGATGCTTGGAGCTATGGGGATTCTCTATTCTCTTTCATTGATCAGCTTGATTTATTCTGTGCTGGGACCTTACTCTTTTAGTTATGTAACTTTATAAATTTTTATTATCTGGTGGTAAGGTAGATCCTTGCACAATAATTTTTCCTTTTCAAGATTCTTTTATTTATTCCTAGACATTAATTATTCTAATATACTTTAAAATCATCTTGACTTCTTTGAAAATTTTATTTTGATTCCAACTGAATACATCCATGCAGCGACACCCCCCCATCTCCCCCTACCATACACACAAGGATTACCATTGTGGGAATACCAAAAGTCCCCTCTTGAGAGACATACAAATAAGAATCTTTAGTTTTTAGCAAGATATATAGGACATAATATGCCATATACTATGTAGAGTAAATATAATACACAGATATATTAATGTATCACTCTATCTCGTCCATTCTTTCTTATGTAGTTTTTCACTATTTTGAATGAATATTCTAGATTGAGATTTCAGCTACTAGTTTTTGTATATTTATCTTATGGACATCCTTTTTTTCAAGTTTTCTTATTAACTAATTATTTAAAAATTTAATAGAGTCTTTGGGTTTTCTAGGTATATAATCAAATTATATTCAAAGAAAGATAATTATATCTCTTTTTTCTTTTTCAATACTTATACAACGTCAGGTATGCAAATTCTCTACTAAAATTCATATGAGTAAGTTCTCTCCTATTTTCTGACAATGTGCTTCCAAGGGTATTTTTATATTGATCAAAACATTAATAAAATTCCCTGGAAACTACCTAAATATTCACCAGTAAGAAAATAGTTGAGTGAATACATCCATTCTAAGGAAAATTAGGAAGCTACTTTAAAGGTATTAATGCCATGATCTGGAGGGATGGTTGTTACACTGAAAAAAACGAAGTTCAAAGTAAAATCTAGTCTGATCCCTTTTTTGTGAAAATGTTTATAGTTACATATGTGTATATATTTTATGTATCTTAAGCCATATTACTTTTTAAATTTTCTAAATTTGGTTAAATAAAATGTAAAAGAAAACAAAATAATGACATCCCAAAGAACTATGTAGCTATTTTCCAAATTCTCTATAATGCCTGACTGTCCTTGTCAACTAGAAATTCTTTTATTCCTTTTAACTGTGGTAAAATATACAAAACATAAAATTTACCATTTTAACTATTTAAGTGTACAAGTCAGTGGCATTAAGTCTATTCACATTGTTAGGCAACCATCATGGCACTCTCCATATCTAGAACTTTTTATCATCCTAAATAGAAGCTCTGTACCCATTAAATACTAATTCTCCTCCCTGCCCCCATAAGCCTTGATAACCACCATTCCACGTTAGCTCTAAGAATTTGACTATTCCAGGAATCTCATATAAGCAGAATCATACAATATTTGTCCTTTCATGACTGGTATATTTCACTTGGCTTAATGTCCTCCAGGTTTATCCATGTTGTAGCATGTGTCAGAATTTCATTTCTTTCTTAAGGCTTGAATAATATAACATTGTTTGTAGAGACCACATTTTGTTTATTCATTCATCCATCAGTGGACACTTGGGCTGCTTTACCTTTTGGCTACTGTGGTTGTTTTGCATTCTTTATCTTTTAAATAATGCTAAAGTCTCTACAATACTTACAAAAATCCCGCAGTTGTACCCATGCAAGTCTTTTCTACACAGAAGGCATCAACCTTTGGTCACATCTGCATAGTTGCAACTGAAAGAAGGGGTGGAACCATCAGTTTTGGATATAGATAGTAATTACCACAAGTATCCACTCTCCACCTATATAAAGACTGAATCCATTTTGTCCATTTTGTGTTGACTGAACAGCTAGTTATTAAGTCAGCATGTGATTTTGTATCAATGAGAATCAAAGTGGTCTCCTATAATAATAGTCTTGTACAAATTTCAAAACTGTAATTATAGGACAAGCATCAATCTTCACTAAATAATCAGAAATATTACCATCACACCAATGTATGGGTATCTTCAAGCAGACCAAATGCATAGCCACCAGACACACATGCCATCCATGCTTAGGGCTGAATTAATCTCATACTGACTGCTCTAGCTCACCCATGAAATGAGATCTGTCAATAGATGAGCTTCTGAAAAAGTTGTGGATAAAATAGACTTTTATTAATCCAGGCTTCAAATGCATTAGAGAGCTCATTATTTTAAAAAATATTTTTAAACATAGAACTACCAAATGACCCAGTAATTCCATATATATATATATGTATATATATATATATATATATCCAAAGGAATGAAAGCAGGGACACAAAAAGATATTTGTACATCAGTGTTCATAGCAGCGGTATTCATATGGTCAAAAGGTGAAAACAACCCTAGTGTTCACAAGCAGATGAATGGATAGACACAATGGGATATATATATTTATAATGAAATATTATTCAGCTTTTAAAGGAATGGAATTCTGATATGTACTACAACAGGGATGGATCTTGAAAATGTTATGCTTAGTAAAATAAGCTAGATACAGAAGGATATTGTATGATTCCACTTAGCTGCTTAGAAGAGGCAAATTTATAGAGACAGTAGAATAGAGGTTATCAGCAGCTGGGGAGAGGGAGGAAGGAGGATCATTATTTAATGGATACAGAGTTCTTGTTGCAGATGACAGGAAAATTTTGTGTATAGATGGTGGTGATGATTACACAACAATGTGAATGTATTTAATGCCACTGAATTATCTGCTTATGAATAGCTAAAATGATAAACATCGTGTCATGCATATTTTATCAGAATAACTTTTAAAAAATGATCCTTTTGTTATAAAATTGCCTTTTCACATAGTGGTACTTGGTAAAAGAGACTGCATGTCTCAGACCCAGTGATTGCTTTTGGTTTGCAGGCAGCCGGCTCTCAAATCGGGATGATTGTCAATTCCTTCACTAACGTCACTGTGGCCATGATCATTGCCTTCTTCTTTAGCTGGAAGCTAAGCCTGGTCATAATGTGCTTCTTCCCCTTCTTGGCTTTATCGGGAGCCTTACAGACCAGAATGTTGACAGGATTTGCCACCCAGGACAAGGAGGCTCTGGAGATCGCTGGCCAGGTAATCTTACAGACCCAATTTTCAAACTGCTTGCTGCTAAGTGGCTGTCAGACAAACCTAGAAGGATGAGTTAGTACAAAGAGACTTAAGGAAGCTGTTAGCCTACAAATGTTCATCCTTGGAAACGTCCCACTAGCCTTTTTATATGTGCCATTGCCCGAAGGCTATGATAATAAAGCTCTGATGCTGTGTGAACAGGTATAGAGAAGTGGCAGGGCCAACACAGAGGGTTACGTATTCAATTTCCTTTCCCTCCAATGGTTATTTTCTCCACATCCTGATTCAGTGTATTCTTATTCGCAAGAGTGGAGATTTTGGTTTTCTGTCTGCTTGGGTTTTTTAACTAAATGGTTGCCCAGGGTCATGCTGCCCGGGCAGAGAAGAGCTATCATTTTTTGAATGGCACAGACTTTTAATTTTCATACTTTAGCATCTGCTAGACTTAGATGTCTTTCTCAACTAGAACTGTGACATACAGTTTAGGTCTCAAATACTCTTAGGTTTCAGGGGTGTACTTTTAAAATCGTGTTCTAATGAAATATCTGGTTATCAGGGGTATATAAGGAGATGGTAGTGTAGACATTTATCAGGTGTAAGAAATCGTGCAGACACACACACACACACCACATACCTTTACTCTTTTAACAGATTTACTGTTATCTAGGTTTTGTATCTTAAAGGAGGGAATGTGAACATTGCCCATGTAGACAGAAGCCAAGAAGATTTCATATACCGGTGGGAGAAAGTAGCCCATTTTTGTGCTACTTTAGGATAGGATGCTAATTCAGAAACAGTGATTATTTACCCTAGTGTACAGATTGAAACAAGTGCAAATTCATAGTATAGACTAAAGATAAACTTTATATTTATAGAATATTTGGTCAGATTAATTTTTTTAAACAAATAGAATCATACTTTGAACATATATTATTAAATATATTTTGTCTCAGAAGACATCTAAAGATATCATTTTAGACATTTCAAATAAGTTAACTAAAAAGCTAAAAAGCTTTCAAGGATAAGCGTGTGCACATTTTTTCCCTTCTCTCTTCTACAACAAGTGGAGGCAACAAAGTCATGTTAGTATTCAGTAGAACTTGACTCATGATCCAGGTAAGTTGACTTCCAACACCTTGTTTGTGTTCGCAGATGATGCCTCCACCATGGATTAGTACCACCTTCTGCCACAAGATCCAGTCCATGTAGTGGCTGAAATGTCACCATAGTAGTTCTTTCTACTCTTTTATTCCTAAAACTCTTTTTCATTTTTCAGATTACAAATGAAGCTCTCAGTAATATCCGCACTGTTGCTGGAATTGGAAAAGAGAGGCAGTTTATTGAAGCATTTGAGGCTGAGCTGGAGAAGCCATTCAAGACAGCCTTTCGAAAAGCCAATGTTTATGGATTCTGCTTTGGTTTTTCCCAGTGCATAGTGTTTGTTGCCAATTCTGCTTCCTACAGATACGGAGGTTACTTAATTCCCAATGAGGGGCTCCATTTCAGCTATGTGTTCAGGTGAGGATTATCAGGCCAAGGTCATAAAAGATCCACACTCCAGGGAGGAATAGCCTGGCTCTAAGGTAGCTTTTGCTGCTTACCAAATCATACCAAACTTGGTGTATTAAACAGTTGGGGTTTATTATTTCTCAAGATTTTGTGGGTTGTCAGGATGATTCTTCTGGACTGGACTGATTTAGTCAGGCTTCTGCATGGCTTGTCTCCATCTGGCCTCTCTAGCAGGTGAGCTTGTTTTCTTCATATCATGGTCTCAGTGTTCGAAGTACGACAAAAGCGAGCAAGCCCCTTGCACTTTTCAAGTGTACTGTGTGCATCACATTTTCTATTATCTCTTTGGCCGAGGAAAGTCATACAACCAAGCCCAGATTTAAAGAAAAGAGAACAGAATCTACCTTTTGATGAGAGGAACTGATTGTGTTTCTCCTTTACTGTCACAGTGCTGTCACACACACGCTTCTGACCCCTGGTGTGTCAGAAGTTCAACTTAATTCTGACACCATCTACCTGGAGGTAGCATTGGATCCCACAAGTTAAGGGCTCAGCCCTGCAAGATTGCCTGTATCACCTCCCTAGACCCTCCAGATACCCTTCCTTTCCCTGGAGGTGGGGAGCAGGGATAGGTCTGAAAGTCCTACCCCTCTAATTGTATGGTTGCTTTGCCTGGCAACCAGCTCCCAATGTTAGGTTACTAGAGACCATCCAAAGTCACTTCATTAACAACAAAGGAGACCTTGGTCACTCTCCAAATATAGGATCTTCCAAGGGTTTAAGAGCTCTGTGCCAGGAATGAGAGCCAAAGACCAAATATATGTTTCTCACCCTGAATCGCAATATCACAGAGGAGTAATAAAGTCCTATTGCAAAGGGATGTGTACAGAGTAAGAGGATCAATGAACCACTTACACAGTCTGCCATACTGGTTAATGTGGAAAAAATCTAGAGAACTTGGATCAGAAGGTGCACAGAACCATCTTACTGGAACTCTATTTCTTGCAAGAAGGGCATGTTTCCAGCTGAATCCTCCTAGGTAGAGATAGCAAAGGCCAGGACAGGAGAATTATTTCCTCTCTTATAGTCTGTGCCTGCTTTGCTGATAACATTAGCTTTGAATCCAGTTTTCTGGGGGTGAAAACCAAAGGGTGTCAGGGAAAAGGGCCTGAGAGTGCAGGTATATGACTGTAGTAGGGTGGGGTGGGGGATGTTAGAGGGATGAGGGGGAGGTGGTCTGAGAAGGCCTTGGAAGACATTAGGAAAAGTGGTCCCAACAGAAATCTGTTCTTTTGAATTCATTCTCAAGCCATGAGCTCTGTCTTCTTGCCTTCTAGATTTCTTCTAGAAATACAGAGGAAATTTTTTCTCCTGCCCCACTATACCCATCCCAATCAAGAAAGCCTCTTTTCTGAATTTTGGCATATTGAGAGCTGTTAATCCCCAAAGCAAAAATTGCAAATTTCTGTTGACTTGTTAGTTTATGAGATATTTGAAGAATATATAATATTTTACATATTTCCTGTAAAAATTGGGTAACTATAGAAAATTCCCAGCTTCTAGCTTCTTTTTAAAAACTGAAAGATCACCTTCCACCATCTCCCATTTTATTCCAGGTGCTTTTCATTGCTTTAAGCTCTGGGATGGGCCTCTAGAGATGTTTGAGTTTGCAAGTCTGGCCTAAAAGAATTCCTGCTTGTGAACTGAGCAGTAAAACACACAAACACACTGCCCTCCGCCACCCTGAGGCAGGCCTTCTGTGCATGGTGATGCAGGTGATCAACTAGAGGATGCCCCTCGCACCTTCACCTGTACAGCACCGGAGCTCTCTGTCACCACATTTATCACTCAGTATCCACTCACCCGTTTGCTCATTAGTTTTGCACATGTTGAATATAGATAGAGGATGTAGAAGCAAACAGACAATTGTATCTTTCTCATGGTGTCTGAAGCATGAGTGACATGCATGCTTGATACAGAATGATGTTTATATCACTAATCATTGCCTTTTACACTCTTATCATAGATCCAAAAAATGTTAGCTTTGCAAGAACTCAACCCAATCTGGTGATCTTTCAAGCCCCCCCCCTTTGTTTCTTTTCAAGAAATCTTTTTTCCCAAACAAGTTTTTGAAAAAGGGGATATTGTAGTTAAAGCAGGGTTTGGACATGTGAACACCCCTGGTTCAATTCTCCCATCACCATTTTGACTTGACATACAACACACTTGAAAACTGTTGGTCTCTCCAAGCCCCCATTCCCAGACAAATCAAGGCTGCTCTGTTCTTTACTAGCAGAAGTAGGGCTGCCCCCCCCACACACACACACAATGCCTGTCTCCTAGGCTGTCATACCAACCACCCCACACTCCTGCTCTACCCGGGTGTCTACTCTATTGCAGGGTGATCTCTTCAGTTGTGCTGAGCGCGACAGCTCTTGGAAGAGCCTCCTCTTACACCCCCAGTTATGCCAAAGCTAAAATATCAGCTGCACGCTTTTTTCAACTGCTGGATCGACAACCCCCAATCAAGGTGTACAGTAGTGCAGGTGAAAAGTGGGTAAGTACTGAGGGGGGTGAGGGGTAGTGTGGGAGGGCTGTGCATGCGTGTGTATGTGCAGCCCATTGGGGATGTCCATAGGATACCACTTAACTTTTAAATTCCTGCAGTCTATGGGTTCATTCATATGCACTCAGAAAGCACAGACAGTAGATTTATAAGTGTAAAGGAATGAAGTAAATTAGCATTAAAATTATTCATAAAACTGGCATTTGAATAAGGCAATGATATTCAGTGAATGCTAAATTCTGTGTAATGTAAAACACACTTAGTTCCAGAATGAATGAAATGTGGATGGATGAACGAATGGCTGATGAATGAAGGCTGGATGTCTTTTGAGACCTACCTGACCACCATGTTTTCTACTAATGTTCTGGTACAGGATGTAGAAAAAAACAGTTCTTCCTGTCCGATAATATTGATTTAGTTCATGTTTACCTAGGCTCAACTTTTAGCTCATGTGGACTCCCAGAAAACTAATTCAATCTCTACAAAATATCTTTTCTTCTGATAGTCCTCACAGGTGTTTTTTTTAAATCTTCCCTGCCTATTTTTTTAAATATCCCAGAGCCAAACAAAACTAAACCCTAGGAAAACTGAACGAAATTCAGAAATCTTTGTAAATTGGTCAAGCGACCTGTTCCTCCTGTTGTTATTAAATACTATCCTCTTGATAATTCATAATTCAGATAGCACAACCTTTGCAATACAGGCTGCGAGTAACTTTCTGAATTATTTGAAGTGTAATGCTATTATTTGAAATCTTTAGGGGGAGCAGAACTATAGGGTTTTGGACAGTTACTGGCTTCTGTGATGGAACCATTTCTTCTAGTTGGTCTTTTCATTCAGAATGTCAAAGAATGGGTGACAAGGAAATCCCTCTAGGTGAAAATGAGAATAAGAAGTCATGTATCTTACATTTCACTGCTCAAACCTCCCTGTAGTCTACACCTGCCAGAACGGGGAACAGAATGCCATTTCATCAAGCGGCTGTCTTTAGACTTGCTCTATGGCAGTGTGCTGTTGAAGATATCTTAACCAAGGACCTAAAACTCAGATTCAGGCGCGTTTTCAGTATTCTAGGTTCTAGTAGAACACTGTTCTACTGTTACATATAGTAGGAATATATGTAAGCCCCATCTTCCCATCCACAGGACAACTTCCAGGGCCAGGTTGACTTTGTCGACTGTAAATTTACATATCCTTCTCGACCTGATACGCAAGTTCTGAATGGTCTCTCGGTATCCGTTCGTCCAGGCCAAACGCTGGCCTTTGTGGGAAGCAGTGGATGTGGCAAAAGCACCAGTATCCAGCTGTTGGAACGTTTCTATGACCCTGACCAAGGGAAGGTGGTAAGCAATGTGAATGCTCTGGAGAATTCTGCTTGCTGCAGAGTGTCTCCGGCCCTTTCAAAGTAGTTTCAAGATCACGCCTTGCCAGACTCACTGGAAAGTTCTTGCCTTGGACACTTACCCCTACGGTATTGTCCAGTTCCAGTCATTTGCTGGTTGACCTGATTCTACCTCTCACTTTGTAATATCGTACTTTTCCCGGTTCCAGATGGTCTGCTGACCAGTTAAGGAAAACTGGGCACACTGCAAAGCTGAAGATGAGTGTGTTTAACAGGAGCGTTCACGTATCTGTAAATGGAGCAGAAAGTGCAAACTAATCAGGAAACTGATGACCTCGAATGGAAAAACTGAGTGGGGTGATAAGGAACACAATGATAAATAAGCAAGAGAAGGGGTTTCGTATGACAAATCTGACACAATCCTGGTTCGAGAAGCTTAGGTCTAAATGATATAAAGAACTCAAATCAGTAGTTATTGTGCCATAAAGCTTTGGCAGGGAGATTTGAAAAATTGGTGAATTGCTTATTTTCCAGAGCATTTTTTTCTCCTTTCTTTCCTTCTTCTTTTCTTTCTTTCCAAATAACATGCAGAGGAAAACAAAATAAAACAGGAAAGATTTGTAATAAAAAGCAACCTCTTATTCTTACCCTTACCCTTCTCACCGCTCCCCCATTTCTCTGCTCAAAGACAACTATTTTTACCTACTTGATATTTTTAGATCCTTCAATGATTACTTCAATGTCTCTAAATAATATGATTATGCTGCTGTTTCACGATTTAACAAATTTAGACTCTCTGTTGACTTATTCTCAAGAGATGGAGATTTAGCTTACCCTTCCCACTCCTCCTGTTTTTACGCACCTCCTCCCAGTATGGATGTATAACTTTAGAAAGTTTCTCTGTTTGTAAGTTTAATCAATATAATTCTGTTTCTGTTCCACCACCTACAGATAGCATCCCTTGAATTCTCATTTTCTAAGATGAGAATAGTAGCAATTCTATGTTTATTTTCACCTCTTCTTCCCTCCTTTTATTTCTCTGGTACTAATAACAGTACTTTTCTATTACCAAAATGCAAAACACAACCATTCTGTTTAAAACATTTATGATCTTTCATGTTTTCACTCTCGACTGACTCTAAAAGTTAAAAATCACTGACAACTTTTGTTATGGTTATGTAATATTGTTCATCCCATAACCAAGTGGTGAGGTACATCAGCATTGCATTTTCTTTCTGGAGGGGAAGGCTTTCTGAAAGACTTTCTTTTTTCTTGCATCCCCTGGCTTTATAAAATCTCTACATTCTTCCAATGTCTCTATCCTGCTACCTTTTTCTGAGGGACCTGCTTCTGTCTCTCTTGCCTGTTACTGCCTGGACTAATTACTACGAACACTTGTCACCCTGTGAGTTTCCTGCATGTTTTCTTGGATTAGATCCATTATTTCCTAGTTCCCATACCTTCCTCTTTTTTTGGGTTTCACTTTCATTTTGTTGGAATGTGTGCACCAGTAGTTTTCTAAGAAATGATTCAGAGGCATAGGTCTGAGAATGTTTTATTCTGCTCCACACCTGACTGTTTAATCCTAATATTTTGAAAAAGGCCTTTTCGAGTTCCCTAGGTAGTAGAATCTTCATTGCAATTAGGACAGGTCACGTTATGATGAGAAAAGCTGAAAGAAACTCAAAGGAGGCAACTAAAGATTCCCTTGCCTAAGCCAAAGCAAAGAAACAAGTGAACGGATATTGGTAGAATCCAGGAAATTATGCAAATAAAGAGTAAGAGTTGATTATACATAGTTTATAATTATTTTGTTATTAATTTTAGGCACTTGTTTACAAATACATAGTGATTGATGAATCTAGAAAGCGCATTGCACTGGGCTCTGATTTCTGCAAAGGAGAGGGTCTGGTTTTCCAAAAGGTCAGATTATCCTGTTATCACCCCAGGTAGATTGTGAACCATGAGACATACAGGGACCGAATCCTCCACGTTTGACCTTTCCAACAATAACATATACATTAAGTATATTTCTCTCACTGTGCACAGTGCCTGTTCTGGTCATAGGGAGGAAGCAATGCCCATGAAGAAATCAGCATGATTCCTTAAATCTCATAAATGCAATATATTTTGTTATACCATTGTAAAACATTTCTAAACCTTTTTCAGGTAAGAAAAATACCACCTTTTTTGCAATTTTAAAATATTGTCTTTGCTCTTAAGGAAGCTACCAAATGTAGCTTTCAATGGTGTCAACATTTCATTCCTGTGACATGCAGTACTGTGTTCGGTAGGCCCTGTGGTAGATTCTAAGGAGCATGAAGCATGTCTTCTGTCTTTTAGGAGCTTACAATACTAGCTCATGTACAGTAATTAGCAAACAGCTCCAGTATTTAATGAGGTATTAAATTGTGCTTTGCAATCTATAAGTACTATGGAAAATGAGAAGAGGAAGATGAGCCAGGGCTAATTGTTGAGGAATGCCCTACTTTTTCTCCCTCTGGTGTTTGCTTTTTCCATTGCTGAGAATTTATCTAAAATATACTATGTTCACAGCATTTAACATCATCTTTTTCTGAAATCATATTTACAGTAGTATGTTAAACATACTGTACCTTTACTATTTTAAGGCTTTTAAGTGAAACAACTCAAATGATAGATATTTGAATTCCTGTACTTGTGTCTAACTAGCCCACAGATAACTAGAACACAGAGATTATTTTTTTCCTTATATAGCAGACAAAAGACTGCCTAGCATGGCGCCCTTGTGGCAGAAAATTCAATATATGTTTGTTGACTAAGTGAATAAATGCACTCCTTTCTTAGTTGGGTCTATTATCTCATGTTAGTTCCAGTAAAATCAAGGAAATAGCTTTGATTCTTATATTGTCCAATAGCTTTACATAGAAAAAATTGTTTCATAACCTGTGAAGTCTCAAAATTGAGTAATTCTTCATACTTGTAGGGTCTGTGCTGCACCAAAGTATAAGGGGAAATTTTTTTTAACAAAATACTATCTCAAGTGCCTTTCTCATTTGGACTACCTATAAAGTTAGAATATGGGAAACAAATAAACAAAACCACAATCTGATTATAACTTTGACACCACTCCTGACATGCATTACCTCCAGAGGTCAAAGACAAACATATTTATAAGATTCCTGAGATTTCTATCTCGTAAGCAAAGCAAATGTCTTGTATAATACTGCCTCTAGAATATGAACTTTTCTCACGGCTGGAATTCTAAAACTTAATGCTCTGTTTGTCACCTCTATTGGCAGATGATAGATGGGCATGACAGCAGAAAAGTCAATGTCCAGTTTCTCCGCTCGAACATTGGGATTGTTTCCCAGGAACCAGTGTTGTTTGCCTGTAGCATAATGGACAATATCAAGTATGGGGACAACACCAGAGAAATTCCCATGGAAAAAGTCATAGAAGCCGCAAAGCAGGCACAGCTGCATGACTTTGTCATGTCACTCCCAGAGGTGAGGACTAGGTCAGAATCTTTCCCAGTGGGAGATGGGGATGGATAGAGGTAGAATGGCCAAAAAAGGATTATGACTATGGCTCAAGGAAAGGGTCAAAGGCAACACAGGTCATTTCCTGGTGCCCTGAGATTGTCTCTGTCCTTTAAGCAAAATAAATGTCAGCATACTCTTCAGCTTTGGAAAGTATTGTATTATCCAGTGCAAAGGATGCCATGGAACTTATTGTACATAAAGCAGCACTATACTGAGCATTAGTGTAGCGTGGTGGGAAGCAATCCTGAGACGTGGAGCAGCTCTAGGTTTGAACCCAAACTCTGCCGCTTACTGTGTAACTTTGGGACAATTACTTATCTTTTCTGATACTTGATCATCGGGAAAATGCAAAAAATAACATTAAAATGTAAGAATATGCATAATAGCCATACCAAGAAAGCTGCTGCTATTCTTATGGCCATCATCATGATTGCATTATTTGGCAGCATATCTTGTGCGTGGTGGGGGTAAGTTGCATCTGCTTTGGAGCTTCTCACTCCTCCAGAGCCAAGTCTGAACTTAGTACAATATCAATTCTGCGTTTTTCCATCCACCAAGAGCCTCTTAGTGGTTGATCACAAAGAAAATTAACACATGAAAACGAAATTTTAGGAACCAAACTTTTAATCTTTTCCTCTTCTTTTAAATACCACTGGAAAATTACTTTTCTTTGTAAGTGATTATGTTTATAAATTTTGTGCTGTTTGTGGTGGGCTTTAGATTCACACCTAGATTCCTACCTAGGCTTGTGATCCAGAATGATGCCTCCTCAATAAGAGGATGGACCAGAAGATCTCTCAAAGGGCCCTTGCATTCGTACTGTCATTCCATCTTGGAAAGATCTTCCAGACAGTAATTTGGAAATCAGGGAATCTTAAATCAGAGAGATCTCACAGACAAGGAGAAAGAAAAAAAATACAAACCTAAAATAAATGCAGAGAAGGGGATATAAAATCCCCTAGTTTCCCAACAAACACTATATTTTTCCTATATTCCTAAATGGATTTGACATCCTTTAGAGAAGGATTTATTTATCATTCCCAAGTTTAAAAGAGAAAAAAAATTGTTTAAATCCATAGAGAGGTCATTGATGTGGGGTCTCCATACAGCATAGGGGAAATGACTGTTTCTGGGTCTCAAACTTACCATACTTTTTCCAGAAATATGAAACTAATGTTGGGTCCCAAGGGTCTCAACTATCTCGAGGAGAGAAACAACGTATTGCTATTGCTCGGGCCATTGTACGAAATCCTAAAATCTTGCTACTAGATGAAGCTACTTCTGCCCTGGACACAGAAAGTGAAAAGGTATGTATTGATTTTCTAATGTCTTAGATCATTATAAATGAATCTTTTGCTGTAATATATGCCCTTATAAATTGACACTATTTTCAATTTTCTGATTCATTGACAGTATAAATGGTCACTATTAGTGGAACAAAAAGACAATAATCTAGAGGAAGTGAGTCAAAATAGGGTGTTTCAAATAAAAAATATATTTTAACTTTAAAATAAGAATTGCTTTTAAGATACACTTTTTAAGAGTATATTCCAAAGGTAACTTTCTTAAGTGAAATAAAGTAATCTAGGTCACCTGTTAGGTGTTTCATATTTTATCATTTCAACGTTACATGGCAAAGCTTGTAGACAGCATACAACACTAAGTAAAAGGTGGTATCTGATGCACAGCTTGCGTGAAACGAAATGCAATTGTGCAAGACAAAATTATGAAATTTACCATTTATAATTAACACCTTAAAAATCAGGATTCATTTGGAGAAAACTAATATGTCCTCAAGGAAGAACTGTATCAGTAATGACCCGTTAACTGCTACCTTACCTAACGGTTTCTCTGGTTTCATTTTTGCCAACTAGACCATCAAGCATTGTAAAATTACACAGTGACCTCTAGTTTGGTTCAGTCCTGCTTCACTAAAATTTCTCAGCCTGTAGAGGGTAATTGAAATCATTGATGCATTGCAGTCAGCAAATACTTATGTAATCCTCTCTCTTGTCAAGCTTTTGGGTTTAACCCCTGGATATAGTAATGTTACTCAAATAGTGTTAAGCAGAATTCTTGCAATGCTGGACCAGGGAACCAACATGTGTCTTTGCATCAACTTTCCACCTTGTCTTTACAGACGGTGCAGGTTGCCCTGGACAAAGCCAGAGAAGGTCGGACCTGCATTGTCATCGCTCATCGTTTGTCTACCATCCAAAACTCAGATATCATTGCTGTCATGTCACAGGGGACAGTGATTGAAAAGGGGACCCATGAAGAACTGATGGCCCAGAAAGGAGCCTACTACAAACTAGTTACCACAGGAGCCCCCATCAGTTGACCTGACTTAAGAATTTCATATACAAATGATACACCAATTACAGGAGTACCATGGTTTTTTTTCTTCAAGGAGAAATGATATTTTGCTTTTACAGACATTATCATCTGTTGGGATCCAGGCTAATTTCTAATGACCTTCAATAATAATTTAGTTTTAAAAAATCTGTATATAGAAAATGAAAGAAACTAGGGTTAGTGTGAGTGAAATTCCAATGTCAAGCAGACGCTCAGCCATTACCCAGTGGCTTTCTCCATCCAGAAGCTAGTCCCAATTACTATATGGGAATTAACAAGAAGTCATAGAGTAAATGAGACTTTTAATTCCTCAAGGGCAGAGGATTATCCTTTGCATATTTGAAACTTCAGTGTTCACAGAGCCTAGTGCACTTATAATAAGCACTCAGTGAATGTTTATCAAACTGGACCAAGGTCATATGCAAAAAGACCAGGAGGATTGACAACCATCTATTTCTTGACTTAGGTTTTCTTGCAAGTGAAAGCAGATCCATTCATCTCTAAAGATGGGGATTGGAAAAGGAGGACTTTAATACTCTGGATGCTCTCAGTCTGGGAAAGGCAGAAAGGAGCAAGTATTTGTAAGGACTTACCAGTTAGGAATGTGGATTTATAGATTCAGGGTATAAGAGGTGGGTGGAGAAGTCATCACTTACAGGACTAGAATCTGCCAATGTGGCTTTTTTGTATAAAACCAAATGAAGCTACAAAAGGTAAAATGCAATTTTTTCATTTCATGAATAGACTTTGGAGAAACAAAGGACAGCAATCTGGGATAAAAGCTCTATCCCAGATCTTTAATCCTTGTCACCACCCTCCACTTCTATTGCTTGTATGAAAACAGAAGTACAAACCCCACTCCTGAAGCAGGATGGCTGGCCTTCTCTAAATGTCTAGCAAAAGACTGGATGGGGAAGCTCACTGAGAAGCTTGGACTTAGAGACACTAGTCACATTTGAACGGGTAGCTAACATACAAGAGACAAGGAGATTGAATAGAAAGCTATATATGAACAGAAAAAAATTCCAGCCCCCTCCTTCTCTAGCAGGAGATTTTAGGAGTAGCCTCTGGGGAAACTGGCTAATTCAAGAAAAGAGACCAATCAGACCAATTCCTGAGATACTCCAAAGAAACTCCCCAACCAGATAACTACTGTGAAGCCCCACCAGCCAACATGTACCCACTGGCTTTCCAGTGTCTCATTTTTCCATATGAATAGACCATCAAGAATCACCAGGCATTGAGGAAATATTGTAACATAAAAAGCAAAATGACAACAATAGAATGCCCAGAACAAGGGTGTTAGAGGTAACAGAGCCAATGCAAAGATTCAGAAAACATTCAAAGAATGCTAACAAATTTACATAATGAGATGAGAAGATATTCCTATCTATTTAAATAAAAACAAGAGTTCATAAAAACGAACATACCAAAAAAAAAAATACAAGAAAGAGCTCTTGATAACAGAAATGAAAAATTCAGTAGCAGTTCCTATCACATTGCCCTACTATCAAGATGTCTTTCTATTCTCTCTCTTTCTCAAATGCACTTAAAGCATAGATTTTTTTTTTCTCCTATGGCCAACAATTGAAATTCTGCCTACAAATTAAGCCTAAGCTCTTGCTTATTGAGGTATGTTATTTATGTGTCTGTCCGGTGTTTCCTAGTAAATAACCATAAACATGGTTTAGCAAGTTAACTAGTTAGATCAGAAGAATTGATGGTTGCCAACTCAGGGAGGGAGAGGATGGAGGACAGTACTCTAGGTAAGTCATAAAAAATGGCAGGGACAAGTACACTACAGAATAAAGATGCCTGCAAGAAGGAATTAAATTTTGCAGTATGCATGTGCTCATCCTGTAATATTGAAGAAAGAAGACCAAAATCCATTAGTGTAAGTGTGCATTTCAAAGAAGAACATAAGCTCTGTGCCGGGAGGCTGCCAGTTTTCTGGAGTGGAATGTGTGGGGTGTAAAAAATGAATGCATAATAATTATTTTTCAAATAAGGTACTTGAAAGTTATTGATGAGTGGGAAAAGGTCGCCGACAGAGGGTTTGACAGAATGTGGGAAAACAATTGTCTCTTGAGGCTCAGTGACAAGGCGAAGGACTATAACCTTAAAAATATAGAAGTACATAAAGTTGCAAATTTATTTTACAACACCAGGGAGTACCAATATTTCTGTATCTATCCCACATCCTATATCACTAGCAAGATTTGGTCTCTGCAAATTTTACATTATTAGTGTTTCTCAGATAACAGGGGTACTTGCATTCTCTGTTCTGTCTGACACTTATCTCAAGTCTTTCTGTAATTTCTAATGTTTTTCAGGATGGATTCATGCTATGATCAAACTAATCCCATAACCCCGAATAATAAAAAAGTTTACAGGAGAAAAAAAAATAGAAGGATTAGAAGGTAAAGTTGGGGAAATTTCCCTGAAGGTAGGACAAAAATATAGAGCCAAAAAGTAGAAAAAAAGAAAAAGAGAAATTTTAGAGGAACAACCCAGGAGGTATAATAATTAGCTAATTGCTGTTCCAGAAAGATTAGAGGGGAGTAGATTATTAAAGAGTCCAAAGATAGTTCCTATAACTAAAGGATATGAATTTTCAACCTGAAAGGATTCAACAAGTATTGAATATAATAAATAAGTAAAGATCCTCTGTGGACACACTACTATGCAATTTTAGAAAACTGGCCAAGGAAGATACTCAAATTTTCCAGGAGAGGGGGGAACATGGTACATATAATAAAGAATCATAATGACATAGGATCTCTTGACAGTAACACTAAAAGTCAGAAGATGTAAACATTTGCCTTCAAAATTCTAGGGAAAATTATTCCATATCCAGAAAACTATTCCATAACCAGAAAACTATTTTGAAGAATGAGAGAAGTCTAAAGAAACTCTCAATCATGTAAGGTTTCAAAACTTTCCCTCCCCATACATCTTTTCTCAGGAAGCCACAGGAGGGTTTTCCTAAAATAAAAGTAAATGAAGAGAGAGGAAGATATGGGACCTAGGAAACAGGTGATGTAACTCAAGAATGAGGTGATGGGAATGTCCAGGATGATTAGGAGGAAAAATCCCAGGATAACTGGTTTGCTAGAGCGAGTGAGTGGCCAGTCCAGACTGAAACAAGGAACTCAGGTTCCATGACAGATGTCTTTAGGAAAAACATGATGCTGCTAGACTGTGTAACATTCCTCCTGCCAGAGTTTTCTGGTGAATTAGCGATGCGTATACAGAAAGACAAACAGATACGAAGAGAGACAGAGAAAGAGAGAGAGGATTATTAGCTATTAGCTCTGGAGTAAAAGAAAGCTTATACATGAAAGGAAATATATTCATATTACATTGCACGACCCACTGAGAATGTTATTTGCAAAGCCATGTCAATGTTAATGCTGAATGCTGATCTCAACCCAAATTAGAGACAGGTTATGGAAAGGGAGAGAAAAGACGTGGAGAAGATTTGCATAGGGGATAGGATATGGGTGTATTCCTCATATTCCCTGGTAGAAATTAAACAGTTAAAAATTTAAACAAATACCAATAAAACATATTACTTTAAGAGAGGAAGGTAAACATAATCTTATATGTCAATTATATCTTAATAAAGCTAGAAAAAATTACAATTTTTTTCAAAAGATGAAAGTAAATACCAGAAGAAATAGCAGAAAGATTTATGCGCATGTATATCTTTAATTTAAAAATAAAGTTAAAAAAATTAAAACAAAAGGAGAAAAATGTAGCACAGAGGCACAATAATTAAAACAGTAGATACCAAAACTGGATTTGAAAGCCACATAACAGGATAAGAGAGTCCAGAAATAGATTCACCAGGAATTCCATTTCTCATAGTTTATTTTAAATTTCTAATCACAAAAGTGTGCATGGTTGTCTCTTTCTGCGTTACCCAGAATTACTTGGAAACAATCTAAAAGTTCAAAAAAAGAGGATCACAGAAAAGGTAAAATTAGTTGAGACACATATATACAGTGATGTTTACCATGAAGCCAATAAAATGATATTGACCTATGTGTGTTGTTTTTGCGGAATGTTGTCCATTATATGTTGTGTAGAAGTGAGTTTCTAATCATTATAGGGGTATGATGCCATCTGTCCACCTCTTTCTCTCTCCTCTTTACACACACACACACACACACCCCTCACACCTCACACCTTATGAATCTGTTATGTGTATCGATGTCTGTGTTGATATGTACCTATATGTGTAAAGGTATACCTGGAAGGATATCTACCAAAATTTTGATAGCCTTTATTTCCAGCCATTCATCCTCTAAGTGGCCAGAGCTCCCTGCACATACTAAATGTCTATGGTCCTTGAGGACAGGCACTATGTAGTTCCTAATATCCCCAGTGCTTTACTCAGTACTTGGTGTATGGTGATGGCTCAGTACATCTTGGTGGAATGATCATTTTAGATGTATACAAATAGTCAACAATTTGTGAGCCCCAAGACAACTAACCCATGTTAGAGCAGTGTCTTCCAATAAAAATATGAGTCACAAATACAAATACATCTGTAATTTTAAATTTTCTAGTCACATTAAAGTAGAAAGAAACAGGTGAAATCAATGTTACTAACATGTTTCATTTAACCCAATATATACAAAACATTATTATCACATATAATCAATATAAGAATTATTAATAAGAGTTTCTTTTATCATATTAAATATTCAAAATCTGGTGTGTATTTATACTTACAGCATAGCTCTGACTAGCCACTTGTCAAGTTCTAGAAGCTACCTGTGACTAGAAGCTACTATATTGGAAAGACAGGGAGAGAATATCCAGTTTCATGTATTTCCTGATCTGAGCCTCCATTGTCCCTATGTGATTTGAGTCTTATAAAAACATGAGTCCAGCTTCTCCCTTGGAACATGTTCTTATACTATACTCAGAAACTTTGTAAAACTTGTTAAAGATCATGACTCATTTGGACTAACAAGCATCATATCATGATAGAATCTGGTAAAATCAAACATTCTGATGTCAGAGTTATGAAAAGAGTTACATTGGCCCTTATCAGAATGTTTAAAATTGTTTACATCATTTATTTATTTAGTTTTATTTATTTATTCATAGAGAGAGAGAGAGAGAATCCCGGGGTCACGCCCTGGGCTGCAGGTGGCACTAAACCACTGAGCCCCCAGGTGCCTCCCCTCCGGTGCACAGGTGTCCGTGCACGGGTGTTGGAGGAGGGGAGCTCTGCACGGGCGCCGCCTCCTCTGCCGACGTGCGTGTGGCTGCACGCGCAGGTGGTGTATCTGCGGTGGGAAGACACATGTCAGAGTGCAGAGCGTGCAGTTGGGAGACACGCGGCAGGTGTGAGGGAGAAGGGAAGTGAGCGGGCACTAATACTGACCATTATGTTGATGCCAATCCTACTGAGCGGCTCTGCCAACCCGACGTTGGAAGGGCAAGCAGAAAATCTAGTAAAAAGTGTCCCGCAGGCACGAGTGATGGTCTGCCCGACAAGCCACATCTCCTCCCCGCTTGCAGGCAGAATTTGGCCCATCCTTGTTCTACATGGACCCGGAAAATTCTGATGAGGCCAGGCTCACCTCCGTGCTCTGTTTCCCAGTAAGACTTAGGCGTTTATAGGACCTAGTAGGGTCCTCCTATATCAGAATCCCTAGGAAAATGGGGATCTTCCTGCCTATGATTTTGAGTTGTTTATATAGGTGGCTTGTGAGCTGTGTTAGGATAGGGCTGCTTCAGGATGTCTGGAAAAGATGATTGGGGCCTCAGAGGAAGATGCATGGGGAGAAGCGGTCTCCCTGCGATGCGGGACTTTGGCGTGTGTGGTTTTGTTCTTGCCGCACACATGCGCACATACGCACCCAAGACCTTGCTGGGCATAGAGTCTGAGCGTGCTAAAACTGAACATGGAGAGCAGCAGTGCCCTTGTTGTATGAGCTGATGGTTAATCAACTGTGGAGACTCCATATATACCAGCACACTTTATTAAGGGGCGTGGCAAATTTATGTGAGCTAATACATTTTCCTTATAAATGACTTCTTCTGGACTTGAGTTTCCTGAAATTTAAAGCCACAGTTCTCTCAATGTGTAATGGAATGGCATCGTAGACCTACCCAATTGAGAAATTACATAAAAAGGGGTAAAATAGGTGAACCGAAGGCTTGGTGACTTTGCCATGATTGGTTTCGGTGTTACTTATATGAATACAAGATAAATTGCTGTAGATTTATGGGTGAATGGAAAGTGCAAAGGTAAAATGTGGAAATTTAGACTTCTTGTTATTCCTCACACAGGTTTGGTTGTGAATGGCAAGCTAGAGGAAAGTTCTAGTCAAGGTATTTTGTTTTGCAGTCTAGATCACTTTGCTGTTATTTTTATTGTTGCAGGTTGTTAGTGGGATATCTAGTATGTCTGCGTGTTGCAAAAGATTCACTAAGAGCGGGAATGCTTGATGGGGATATAATCAGTGGAATAGAAAAGCAGGAAGGGATACTCTAGAAGGAGAGGTGGAGGGACTGACCTGCCCTCATAAATCTGCACCTTTGGATTATGTCCCTTCGCCGCAGAGTTGTCATGGAATGACTCAAACTCTCCTCATTAGAACACTGTTTTTTCCTCAAAGGGTTAGGGGCTTTGCCCCATTTAATTGTCTTCTGCAATCAACACCACTCTGGCCAGTGGTGGACACCTGTGGAGGACCGTAAGCATCTCATGACAATATTCTGGAGCGTCAATGACTAATGAACACTGATGGAGACACTGAAGGTAAGCCACCCTACAGTTCTTCTCTCACCGTGTCCCCACCAGCTCACTCCACCAAATGTCGAAAGAGGACCCTCCGAATCTACATTAAGCCTTCTTTCAGGACTCATTCATGGATTTTCATGCTATCTTCCATTATTGGATACTGACCATTATGTTGATACCAATCCTACTGAACAACTCAAGGTGGAAACTGTGCATATGCATCAGAAAAGGTAGAGGGCAAGGGTTACGGGAACTTCCTGGAATTTCATAGAAACTTTGGTCTGTGTATTCAGAGATAGATGTCTTTGTTAAAGCGTTCTTTACACTCACCATATGTTTAAGGTGATCTGTGAACCAAAAGGTAATTATGAACGATTAAAGTAGAAGAGGATCATCTCTACTTAAAAAAAAAATGACACGAAATAACTGCAAAAAATGTCATTTGATCTAAACTCCTTGAGTTCTCTTCTCAAGACAAGTTTTTGTCTAATTTATAAAAACCTATTATGATTTTTTTCCTATAAACAATTCTTATAAATAATTGGAGCAGCATGTTTCCAACTTCTTTAGAGAAGAGATCCTGAGTCATTTGATACATCTCAAAATCGCATGAAAGATGACCGCAAACCAGATATGCTATTATTTGAGAAAAAAGTAGAATAGACCTTTAAATCATTTTGTCTAGAAACTCTTTCATATAGTCACTCTGAGTCTACTCTACATATGCTCTTAGGAAACTATTTCCATGAAAGGACACTTTGAATTTAGTAATGCATTCATGCATACAGTTTTTGGCAATTATACACTCATTTAAAAATGTATACCCTGGGATATTTTGATATTGTGTCCTGAAAGAGGAAAATACATGGGATCATAATTAGATATAATTTGCCACATTTTTATTCATGAATTAAATGTAAATTTCCTATTCTAAGAAAATACCAGAACATTCCCATCAGGTTAGTTTAGGATCCCACCTAATATTTCCAACTAAGGTCTGGAATTATAAATATCTCTTATGTATGCAGAATCTCTCTGTAATCAGGTCACATAAGTATGTTGGTGGAGATAAAAAAGTTTCAAATTTGGCTGCTGTTTCCAAACACATTTTGAGATAAATTTACATATGCGTGCGTATCATTATAAAATAAGCATTTAGTCCATTTGTATTTGCTCTAAATTTCTAGATTGAGTGAATAATCTCACCTGCCTATAAGAGATGGGAGGTGAAAATAATTTAAATAAACTTTAAAACTCAATTCCAATTTCTTTCACACTGTGTTCAATTAAATGCCCAATTAATTTAAATGGATAGACTGTAAATAAAGCAGTGCACATGATTATCATCTAATTAGCACTGGCCAGCATTATAATGTGCTCATTAGTGAGTTGTCTGGTATCCTAAGGCTCATAATGAGTAATCAGAGTACACGAGATTGGCATGTAGCTGTCTGGATGCAACTACTCAACCCGATAAATCAGCACCAAGACAGAATGTGCAGTAGAAAAAGGGAAAAGAATGCATGGCTGGTGAATTGGCAGTTCTCTCCTTTGTATGATTCAGGTACAGCTCCAACTCTCAGATACAAAAAGATAAATTCAAGAATAAGAGATTGGCTGGAGATAGGAGGGGAAATGTTCACTCAAGGTGACCAAGAACAAGTCATTACAAATGATTACAGGAAAGAAACTACGCTGAATTTATTTGTCGAGAGTACGTATTTCTAATATACCAAGTACGGATTCAAAATAAGAGATGAGCAATGTTTTAATAAAATTTCTTGGAAGGTGAAAATTCAATCAATCATTTAAATCTACTCTGTGATAACATTCACAAAGCATTTTATAATTGAGAAAGTCTTTTGCTCTCATAATTTTTGTATGTTATTATGAAACCAGTTAGCAGGCTGCAAGATAAGGAATGCAGCTGTAAGTTGCACTAACTGGTTAAATATGTGAGAAGTTGCTATGGTGAGTATCATAGGCTGGCTTGCTTGACACCCGATTCTACATCCCTTTCCCCTGCTTGCCTCTGTTACAGAGATTGGAAACTAGTCTTTACCTTTCCAGACTCTCTTGACGCTAGGAGAGGCCAGATGATACTGGTATGATTAGTGAAATACAAGCTCAAGTCTCTTTGGAGGCTGTTTCCAGAATAAAGCCTGGGTTGAAGAAAAGCTGTTTTCTTTCCTCATTTCTTCTCTCCTGGAGGCACAGCAGGCATGCTGGGGTCATCTGGTCGGAAGCCAAACACTATGGATGGCAGAGCAAG